AGAGAGAGAGAGAGAGAGAGAGCTATGCTCCTATATGGTGTGAGGTATGAGCTTAATTCAGGCTTTACGACTAGAGGTATCCCCATTTCTTCGATGGGGGCAACTCACGTGGAAGACATTTATATACTTCTTTTAAAAATATGCTTTGATGTACTGTGTAGCCTCACTGCTTTTATATCCTTACAACCTTACAAATATGGCAGACACTTGCACCTAGTAGAAATACTAGGCTAGGTGTGCAAAGTCCGAGACTTGACGTTATTGGTAAAACAATATCTGTTGATTATACTGTAAGTTACAATTTCAAATGAATGGTATTGGCTTATGATAGTTGTCCACAGCCTTTTCACGATAGTGATTTCAATAAATCCTTCTGATCCAATGTATTAATATCATTTGGTTAGTGAATACGTTTGCTACCAATTGTGTTGAAGTGCCCAGCATGAATCTAGGATTGATGGTGTTCAATCATTCTCATGCTTTTTGCCGCTCCTGGTCTTGTATCTACAAACGTTGTTTTCTGTACCGTTCTTTAATTTCAGCAAGTTGCTTACACTTGAATCTGCTGGTTGCACAAGTAATTGGACTTAGGCATCATTTTTTTACCTTGCCCCTAAGATATTCTGACTTGTTTAACTGTGAGCCCAGTGACTTCTAGGTATTGGTTACAAATGTGTACAATTAATTACTAGTCATGTCAGTCACAATTCAAATGTGTGCAATCTTCTCTGATGTCTGCTTTGACTGTGTATTGAACTTTTGCCATACTACAATCTTCTGTCAACCAGTTATATCCTAATGGAAAATCTTCTTGAGAACGGTTCTACATCTAAATTGGTCAGTCCTACATCTAAATCGGTGCCCTTAATCCTCTGAGAACTCCAATGGTTAAAACTTGAAAAAATGATGAAGATAGAATATGCCTATGCTGAAAATTTGCATGATTACTTGCTTTAACCCCTCACTCTGAAGTTGCATAGTAAGCTTTCTTAGAAATCTTCTGGATCTTTGTTCTCATAAATAATTGTTCCGATACAATGTGAATATGCATTGAGAATCTGAACAAGTTTTGTTGGAAGAGCTATGGCTCTGCATTATGTTATGGTAGCAAAGGCTACTGTGCATTTTATGTTGATTTTTTGTTTCATATCACTTTGTTATCTAAATTGTGGCGCTTAAATTTTGCACAAACTTAAGACAAGTAGAGAACCATGTTGCCAATTAGGAAAATGTAGCTGCTGATCAATTTCATAGATTTTAGGGCTGGTATTCTTATTTGTGTCACCCTTCTCTGTGTTCTACGTGTGCGTATGTTGGGGGATTCAATGGAGACCTTGTAAACCTTTCTCTTCTTGAACCTGTAATGCAGTGTCACTGATTAAGGTCATGTCTGGATGGTCAAATTTTCTTTTCAGGAGTATCATTTGGTAATACAACTACCATACCTTCCAAAGCATGTTTGTATCATAAACTCATGGGGAAAGGTATGCCCTGTTTGTGCCACGAACTCTTAAAGATTGAGATCTAAGAACTGTCGTACTTTTCTTTCATAATCTTCAAAAACATTTTTATTTTCTTTCATAATCTTCCAAAAAAAACATTCTTAATCACATAGTTTGCAATGGATCTTATGCACCTTTTCAAAGATAGGCCCTTCAAAATAGATGGGTAGTTTCCTCCTCAAAGTTTTGAATTACAAAGCCAGTGCTCTTTATATAGGTGCACTGTGGCTAATTGGCCAGAAAAGGAGAAAAGATAGGTTAACTGTGGCTAGTTACTTCAGGCTTCGATTAGTTTATTATTATTATTGTTGTTGTTGTTGTTGTACAGGCTGGGGATTTGGTGTCCCTTAGGGAGGACGTTGGCTTTTGCAATGTTATCTTTTATCATGGTTTTCCTGCGTTGTTCTACTTTTTCGTTTGCTTCTCTTAAGGAAATGCTTTGTTACTCTGAAGTGGGCTGGCGTCAATTCGTCTTCCACCAGCTGTGCACACGGCTGGAAATTTATGACTCAAAATAGAAGGTGATAGAAAATTTATAAAGTTGTCGTTATCGATACAAGTAGGATAAAAAGCTCCAACAAAATGCTATCAGCCACTTGCACAAAGCCAATTTGAACCCCAAGTATTAGTTAGAATGAGCAACTTCACTATATGAGTGGAAATCACATGTTCACGAATATTAATAGGTACATAGTGATGTTGTGCATTGGCTGTGGCTCAAGGAGTAAACGGTACAGTGGAACATCATCCAAATTTGTGATTCATGGAGAGAGACAAAATCGAGAAAAGACACCCTAGTTGGACTTAAATGACGTATTGATCTCTCTATTTTTTCAACACTAACCAAAGTACTTTGTCTAGAAAATGGATGCCATCACAGCTCAAGAATTGGAGAAAGTGATTGTGTTGGGTGTACACACCTTTGTAAGTCAAAGGCATCTTTCAGTTTTTTAAATGAGCGAATCTCTCTATTAATTGTCTTGAATGTACAAAGGTGCATCATTGATTGTCTGTGCAATATTTGCAATGTTAGTTTTCTAAGGTAGTCCACCAGTAGGATTTGAACTTGGGACCTAGCATAGCAATTTCAACATCCAAACATAAGCCCAAATCCTAGCAAGATTAACTTTTGATGTTTAGTAGTATTTCTATCATGGGTATTGAGCAAAATCCGAAGGGCGGGTTTGACCAGTATTACCTGATGAAGACAATTAGAAATTTGAATGTCCTGAGAATAATTGGTGTAGTGTTTTGCTGCAGTAGTCTTTTAGTTATTTCAACTTTCGGATATTCTTTACACCGTCTTTGTTTTACCCTCAGAAAATAGTATCATTTCTACTCTGGGTGGTTATTTACTATCAGCAACAACATTTTAGAGATCAAAAGTTGGGTGTCCATGGTTTGATGTTGGATAGCCTGTGTGACATAATAATGGAACTTTAATCTTGAAATTAACTTCATTCTTGGTAATTTGAGATGATGATGATAGTTCTTTCTTCAATGCAATTCTCATCCCATTTAGATTGTGAAGTCCTTTTGCATGTTTTTTTTTCATTAAAGACACGAGCTGAGGGTCTATGTTTACACGGTAAATAAATATCACTGGTTTTCTTTGAGGGGTAAGGTAGATTGTATATGAACATGTTAAAAAAGAAGAAGAAACTAACACTAAGGTTCAGTAATTATGGTCAAATTTGCTGAGTAAATTGTTGCAACATTTTTTATTTACATCTTTTTTCTAACTCTTTATACATGCATAATCTTGTAGGCTTGACTTTTCGTCACACACTATATCCTTCATACAAGGGCAATCGCATTCCTACACCTGATACTATTGCTCAGGGTCTTCAATATTTGAAAGCTTCCATCAAGGCTATGTCCATTGAAGTGATTGAGGTGTGGCATGCATTCATGCTTGAATAATTGAGGATTTGGAACACTAGTAATATTCTTGTTATCTTTTGGAACACTTGGCGATGATTGAGGAACTGGAAGAATTGTATGACTGAGGATTTGGAATACTAGAATATATTATTGTTTTTGTGATTATTGCAGATCCCTGGTGTTGAAGCTGATGATGTAATTGGAACTCTGGCCATCAATGGTGTCGCGGCTGGCTTAAAGGTGGACATCTTGCTAATGTCATGTATAATATTTGTTTGAACACCTTGAAGAATGTTTATTTTATTGGTTAATTTTATTAAATGTAACACTTCTAAGAATGTTAAGAGTGCAAAGGGAGGTGCCCTTCCCTTCTAAGTGCACTAGCATAGCTAGTGTGTTTTTTTTTATTGGAATGATGAGAAAAATGTTCTCACGGAATATCAATGTTGCTTATAATCATTTAGTTCCATACACTTTTTATTGTGAATGGTGAGTCTGGTGAACCTGTCACTTATTAAATTTGCAAATTGCAGTGGAACTGGGGCCAAATAATTTCAATTGGTCCTGCTAGATTTTGACATACCCTGGCCACGAATTTGCCTGGTCTGGGTGGTGTTTGCATGCACTTGTACATACACACATACCAAACACCATCACATAGTGTACTAAGTGTGTTTTTCTTGTTGTGCTGATTTGAGGGTAGGCATTGTGCCCTTGTGATTGTCGGTCCTTGTTGATTATGATCATCATGTTATACGAGTATTATATTTCACACTACATTTTTTTGCATGCTTAATTGGTAAACTGCACTGACTGGAAATGATTGAGTAGATCTTGTGCATGCATATTGCCCAACAGAAAGCCACCCAATCGCTAAAAGAGTGAGCATTAGCATATGAGATGACCCATTCAAATATTTATATGCGTGGAACGGAACATGTTATTTGAGGTGTATTTGGGGGGTATCGTGGACTCAATTTATTTCACTGTGTACTCATCTATGTGTTTGGTTTCTGTCACAGGTGCGTGTTGTCTCTCCAGACAAGGACTTCTTTCAGATCTTATCTCCGTCACTACGTCTTCTTCGGATTGCTCCTCGAGGGTCTCAGTTAGTATCCAGTTCATTGGTCATTTTTATTTAAGCATTATCTTTGTTTCTATTTTTATTTTATTTTTTTGTTAAGCAATATCTTGGTCTTTTCTATGGTTAGTTCAGATAACTGAATGTGAAGTTCTAAATGCTGAACAAATTGGAAATCTACTTTAAAGTGAAGAATTGTCACTTACTTCTATGTTAACTTCTCTTTTTACTTGATTACATCGAGCCCACTTGGATACATTCTTCACACGTTTTGACCCATTCGGGACTTGTGACATGGATTGTTTATATAGGCTGGTATCATTTGGGTTGGAGGATTTTGCTAAAAGATATGGGGCTCTGAAGCCTTCGCAGTTTGTTGATTATGTGGCCCTTGTTGGGGACAGATCCGACAATATTCCAGGTTTGGTTCTTAGTGTTTTTTTGGTTGCTACACAGCAAATAGAATTAGAGAAAGTTAAAAAGTAATTAGTCTTCTGATTGGTACTACTGCCATCTCTCTCATTGTATGCAACGTGTCGTCTCTACCCAAACACTGATGAAACTCTTGAACAACTGGAGAAGTTAATATCTACTCAGCCTTCCAATCTTTTCAGTTTCATGTGCAATCTACCACAAGAAGTCCCTGACGAATCATGTGAAACATTTATGTCAATGGATAAAAACAGATAAGTTGATGGGGAGAACATCATCAACCAACAAGTGTAGACATCTTTTCTGATCTCAAGTTCTAGAATGAGCATATCATAAGTTGGAGCACTCAATATGCTGCTACATGTTCATGACTAATTTGGAATGGCCAGTGGACTTTTAAAAAGGGCACTACTTTCTTGTATTCTAAAATGTTCTGTTTCAGAATGGTGGTGTCTTATATCAGCAAGGATTTCCCTAAAGATTTCTTAATTAATGCTCAAAATTACAGGAGTTATTTAATTACCACATTAGTGATTTCTTTACGAACGACTGTTTGATATGCTTGATTCCATATATTATCTTGCATGAAGGTCATGTGATAACTCGCAATAAGAGCTATCTTCTGTTCTTGGCTGTTTGATGTTCACTGATGGGTTTTCCAATTTTATGGTAAACTTTCCCTTGTAGGTGTTGAAGGAATTGGAGATGTAAATGCTGCTAAGTTGATTCTTAAGTTTGGTAATCTTCAAGACATAGTGCATGTCATAAATTATCATTTCTTCAATTTTCTGATGCACGTATTGGGGTAAATGGATCTTTTCATCTTCATTGGCTTAAAAACTATGTTTATTTTATGTGATCCAATGAAAATCTTATTTTTTGAGCATTGAACAAACAGTTGTTGAAAAACCATTGATGGTTTTTATTATCATACATTTATCTTAGAAAGTAGTTTCAATAATAAATAGAAACAATTATATAGGAACTCTTGAACTATTGTGAAACTTTGACTAATCTTAGAGTTTGTCTTCTGGAATCCTTGGGAACTTTCAGGATTTCTGAGATAAAGAGGTTCAAGTGAACTAGCAAGTAATAATAGAATTTGTTGGAAAACTGCACAATGTGAGTTTAGGATCTGAATCATCCGTTAAATTGAGTGTGGATCTGAATCATCCGTTAAATTGAGTGTGGACATCTTATAAAGCTACTCAAAGGAAGTCTCTTGGAGAACTCCCCTTGATCACTGAGTGCTCATGGCTAGTGACGTATATATAATCACCTGAAATTCTGAAACCTGACTTGGGAACTGTGCATATGATAATTAAGGTATGATGCCCATTGAGTGAAAAATTTTAGACAATATACAGATAGGAAAAATTCAGGGGCACTGATTCAAACAAAAAAAGGGAAAACTAAGGGAGATCTTGCAAATTACAAAAGGACTGAAAGAAGTATGGTTAGCAAGGGATGTTTAATTCTAACCACCGACCCATACTTAACCATTCAGATGTTTCTTTTGCTAGGTTGGCCCAAATCCCTTTGTCAAGCAAGATGTTTGTTCCTTAACTTCCTTTTTTCTCAGAATACACATCTTTTCTCGAGCTTTATTAAATGGTTCAACTTCCAAACTTCCCCTCTACGCATTTGCTAGGTACTTCTGAGGTTATCGAATGTATTTTTATACTCTGACAAACCTAGAGAAATTTGTGATCATAACATCAAACCTGACCTACATATAATCACTGAAATTCTGAAACCTGACTTGAGAACTGTGCATACGACAATTAAGGTATGATGCCCGTTGAGTGAAAAATTTCAGACAATATAGAGATAGGGAAAATTCAGGACACTTATTCAAACAAAAAAAGGGAAAACTAAGGGAGATCTGGCAAATTACGAAAGAACTGAAAGAAGTATGGTTAGCAAGGGATGTTTAATTCTAACCACCCACCCATACTTGACCATTCAGATGTTTCTTTTGCTAGGTTGGCCCAATCACTGTGTCAAGCAAGATGTTTTAACTACCTCTTTCTCAGAATACACAACATCTTCCCTCTGGCTTTATTAAATGGTCCGACTTCCAAACGTCCCCTCTACACATTTGCCAGGTACTTCTGAGGTTATCAAATGTGTTTTTATGCTTTGAAAAACCTAGAGAATTTGTGATCATATCATCAAACCATTTATGTTGATTCAATGGCCAAGACATCTCTCAAATTCCTAATTCCGGTATCTTTTCCTTGAGTCTAAATCACCAAGGCAGGGTTACACATGTGACTAATTACTCTAATGATGTATTGAGCCACCCTAATATTTGTTTTTTGAGAAGCATTTGAATTGCATTAATATGATGTTAATCACATAAAACCCCATGAGGTATAATTTTAGAGAAAGGCAAACCACAAGTCGATCATGCAGACTGACATGGTCTGTGTACACAAACGGGGCAGTTATAGAGGAAAGCAGAAGCAAAGGTAGGTGTTAGATATAGAGAGAAGCAGAGATCAGTGATGTGGTGCTGCACTTTCAGTCAAAAGTGAGTGGTCCTCCTTGGCAGCCCATCCCTTAAACACTGTCCATGGCTGTTAAGGTTACTTGGTGCTGATGCTAGTGGCATCTCTCTTGTGCGAGCATCGTTAGCAGCGTTGCCCCCTACCTCCATATGTGGCTGAAGCTTACTTGAAGAGGCCTGCAGATGCAAAATGTATCGTCAAAAGTCAATTTTAATCTCCAAGAGGGAGAAGTAATTTTGGTCACACTGAGGAAAATATTGTGGGTGTCTCCCTCAACAATCAGTGGGTGAACCATAAGAGGGATCGCATCTTTTGAAACCATGGGCAATTGCCTCAGCTGTTGTTGAGTCGACAATACCGAGGAATCTGGAGGAGTTTATGATTTGTCCAGGGCGTCTCTGACAAGACCTCCATAACCAGTCCCCGGTTCCCAAGGAGCAACCATCTGTGTTTATCTCGATGGCTCCAGATTGGAGTGGTTGCCATAGGGAAGATCTAGTGATTCTAATTGCTTGGGACACTAGGGTGGCTTTCCAACTCATGGCCGAAGTGCACTGCTGAGAAAGCTGAGCACTTTCCTTCCCTTAACCCTAAAAATAGTGAGGGAGTGGATTTACTCCTTGATTGCCACTATTAGTTCTTCCTCTCCTTTGAAAATGTGGTGATTACATTCAATCCACATGGTCCAATGGGTCAACATTATCGACGTTCTCAACAGTAGCAGGCCTGCCTTAGAAAATTCGGTGATTACGTTGGCCAACCTCGTTATTCTACCATGATCCCTACAGTTCTGTTTGAGAAAGAGGTAATTGTGGTGGTTGTTTTTGTTTCATCTCTTCAGGTGTTAAGGGTAAAAATTCTATACTCTGAATCTGAAATGACAATTCACCTTCATTTGTTACAAAAGAATTACAGAACCTATCTTTCATCACTTTAGGTATTACCACCTTGTGTATGTACAACAGAGTGCCATGTAGGGAATCAACTGATTCAGCTGTAGCACATCTAGCTGCATGAAATAGAACAGGAAGTTATAGTGTATACATGATGTGCATGCTAATTAATATGTAGGCAGGGTATTCACCCTATGTCATCAAGGTGAAGAGCTTAGAAAAACGGTGATCACAGGCAGAATGGTGATTCAGCAATGCCATCCTTTTTGAAATTGGACAATGATGCCTTCCTGTATAGCATCCACATCATGTATATGCTATATACTTTCTGAATAAATTATGGGGAAGATCACTAGGGTAGTCCCTATCAGTTGCTTTCTACTTTTCTTTGCTTTCTCATATAGCATGATGAAAATTATCGGAAAAAAGAAGATTTCTGTGACAGAGAGCCTTTGTTTTTGTTTTTCTTTAGGATCTTTTTCCAATTTGCAAAGAAGCAGAGTTTGTTAACTTTCAGTTAATGGTGAATGTAATCTAGGTACATTGGAGAATTTGTTAGATTGTCTTGATCAAGTTGAGGATGCTCGGATACAAAAGGTAGTGTTGATTGATCATTGAGTAAGACGAGTAATTTCTCATAATGTTTGATCAATGACTTGTTTTTCTGCTCCAGTTGGTGAAATGGGTATTTTTTCCGGTTAGAGACAGCTTTCGCATATGCGTTACTTCATGCTGTAATACACTTGGATTATTATTAATCATCCAATACTTGATTAAATGTTGTTTTCATGCAGGCCTTAATTTCTCATACTGAGCAAGCTGTTTTGAGCAAAACTTTGGTATGTTGACAGTAGTATCTATTGATCAATGGCTTCACTATTTAAATTTTAAATTCTTCCTATTAATTTTAGCTCTTTTCTGCTTGAAGCAATTACTACTTTCGTATAAAACGTATGCAACATTATAACGATGCCTGCATATCTTGGTTTGTTTCATGGATCTATTGCAGGCAACTCTGCGCTCTGATTTACCATTCTACATTGTTCCTTACAATGTAGCTAACCTTGCAATTACAAGACCAGAGGTTTGTGCTGAGATTGATAGTTCTGGTATTATGAAAGAATGATACATATGTACACAATCCCTCCCTCTCTTGTGCTCGCGGTTGTGCTCACAGGCATGTAATGAATACTGTTTTTACTTGTTTTAGGATAATGGAGAAAAATTCAGGAACCTTTTGAGGGCAATCAGTGCATATGCTGAAGGCTTTTCTGCAGAGCCTGTCATCGGTAGAGCATCGTCGTTATGGAACAAAAGTTGAATATGTTCTTCTTCATTGAGAATGAATGGCTTTGACAATCGAAAGCCATCAGTAAAATGAAAAGTTGGCAAAGAAATCCTGTTGAATTATGGGAATTTCAGCAGGAGTAAATCCCGCAACTGGGCGAAATAGAGTTGACCATCGCTGGTAACTGATTCATTGGAAAGAAAAATGAAACAGGCTTCTTTTGTCTCTACAAAATCGAGAAGTGTGAGCCCCAATAGCCAAGATTTTTGTAGAAGCAAGCATGACCGTATATGAGCTGAATGGTTGGTTAGTGAACAGTGCATAGGTGTGATAAATTAAATGAGTAGCTCGGATAGGCAGCATTATTCACTTGAGAACTTGGAACCATCTCTCATGTTTTTTAAGCATTAGTTTTTGTCCCAAGAATCATGTTGTTTAGGCTGATGTTGTATACCGAATTTTGAAGGCCTTTTTTCTTTTTCCTTTTTGAACATTATATTGAAGGGCTTCATCTTGTTGATTTTTTTTTTCTGTGCCCTACAAAAAATGATTAAACATTGCGCACTTATTTGTGTGTTCGTCCATTGCGCAAAAGAATCAAATGCCCTTGATTCTTCCTTAATATAAGTTTGTACCCTTTGATTTAGTTGATCTGCTCCATCTACACAATGTCAAAGGAAACTATATATTGTGTATCCGATTAATATGGAAGGTGTATATTATAATATTTATATTTGGGAAGGGTAGATACAATATCTTGTATCTATGGTATGTCTGGGTGTAGTATAGGGATCTATGATTTATTTTTATTAGTAATCTGTAATTTGTCCATAAAAGACAAGTCTGTATATTCATACGTTTAATGGACATTGAATCTCTTCAGAGAAACCTGGGACTCTTCACATGGTATTAGAGCCAGATTTATCTTAGTTGTGTCCATTCCTCGTCCTTGAAGCATTGTCGCTTCAAGACCAGTCTGTTGCTCACCCAATTAGTGCAACTTCTGTTGAGTCTTGTTTCACTCTCTGATCTGTCCTTTATATCGAGTTGTATTTCGACTCTCTGATCTTTCTCTCTATCGAGTCGTGTTTTGACTCTCTGATCCGTCTCTATGCCGAGTCGTGTTTCGACTATCTGATTTGTTTGAACTCATTGGCCTCTTTTCCTGTCTTCTAAATCCACTGTCTGTCATCAATTTTTGCTGCGTCTCTCTGATGGGACCCGCATGGTGGCACAATTTAATTACCACCACACGACTGCTGACATCCGAGCCTTTCTAGATGCCGTGAGGCCTGGGGGTCCCTCAACATATCAGTTGCAGGCTGTGGGCTTTCCGCCAAACCCATTGACTGATCCCACACTGACCATTGAGCAGGCTGGACTCGCCAATTGGGTTGTGCTTCGAAACTATGATTTTGTTGAATGATTCGTGTGCTTTATGCTGGTGAGAGTGATTAATTGAAGGACTTTGTTGAGGTTGCTCCGAAATTGGCAAAATAGTATGAATGTGCGTAACTTATTGGGGCAAAACTACCATAGAAAAGTTTCTTTGAAGGTGTTTGCTACCAGGTGGTCAAACTATCTGTCCCCCCTTCATCAAAACTGAGTTAATTTGGAATCTGGAATCGTATATTCTTGACTCTAATCTGAGTGCTAGCATGTTTGTACTAGTTTAAAGATTTTGGATGCTTTTCTCTGTGCATGGGGACTAAGCATCCTTAGTTAGTACCCGATGAATTCAGATGCTGAAATGTGTTCGTGTTCAAAAAAAAATAATCATGTGTTGCTTCTGATATTATCTTCTCTTTGTCTGTTATTTTATGTAAGATTGAGTCTATTACTCTATTATTTGATCATGTTTTTTGACCATTTGAAACGCGACCTAAAAAAAACAAATCTCTGAATTTTTTTTGTATAATCGAGTTTACTTATTCGGTTACTCGATCATGTCTGTTTTGATCTGCGAGCTGTTGAATCTATCTCGGATCCAAACCAAATTTCGTTGGCTCTTTCAAGTGCCATTCTGGTCTCTCAGCTATCTCGACTGCTTTGTCTGGAATTTTTTGTCTGATTGATTTAGCGTACTCTGATATGGCCTCAGTTCCTGGGGCCATCTGTTCATGAAGCTTGTTTCTGTGTTTGTTGATCAAGCAATCTGAGCATAGCAACTACTGCATCTACTGATCATGTTATACACCTGAAGATCCAACTATTTGTTTCCGCGATTAGTGTTCGCTGCTCTCTTTTATAGCAACTTGAGTTTGAGGGGGAGTGTGAAAAGAAAGTATACATTGTATATCTGGTTAATGTGGAAGGTGTATATTGTAATTTGTATATTTAGGAAGGGTAGATACAATATTTTGTATCTATGGTAAGCCTAGATATAGTATAAGAATCTATGATTTATTTCTATTATTGTCATATGTAATTTGTCTATAAAAGATAAGCCTGTATATTCATATGTTTAATGGGCATTGAGTTTCTTCAAAGAAACTTGAAACTCTTCACACAATATATTACTGATAAGCTCTCTTGTTGAGCTTGTTAAAAAAAAATACAAGGATTGTTACAAGACAGTAATTTTATTAGGAGTTTTCCTTATGTTTGTTTAATCAATTTTTGTGGAGTTCTATCAGATATGAAATATTCTTTTAAAATTAAATCCAAAGCTACTATTCCTTGAAAGCATTCTCTCTTTCTCTCTCACATATGCGTGGTATGTGCTTTTTGACTAGTTTATTAGTATGTTAAGAGATTGTTTACAAAGTGACCATTTATCTTTTGTACATAGAGGTTATAATCATTCATGTCCTTTAAATTTCAAAATGGGTAGTTTTATGAGTGTCAATGAATAGACATTAAGTTCTAAAAAAAAATTCTTGGACTTCATCACTCATCTCAAGCCATTCAAGTTAACATCTAATGAGTGAGAATGATTATGACCTCTATATATAAAAGATAAATGGTCTCTTTATAGTCCATCCCATATATTAAATAATATCAATACATGATCTCTTTGTAGTCCATCCCATATGTTAAATAATATATTGTTGATTTTGTAATAGAGACGATGGAAGTTTATTAATTTGGCACTTTCCACATGCTTTTTGTTACTTATAAATGGCCCATACAACGTCTCAAAACCTGTTGGGGTGGCAAGTTTCAATGCCACTTTTTGAGAAGGAATGACCACTTTAAAACTTAAATGGTATGAGTTTTTATGGTGGGGGAGAATTAGAACTTGCCCTTCAAAACAGTTCTACATATTCTCATATGCGCTTTTTGAAATATTAAAAGGAATAAATTTATATACGGGTGAAGCCCTAAACAATCAAATTAAGGTCCACCTCAAAAATTTACTAGAAAAGCATGTTTTTTTATGCTGAAAGATCTTCAAATCGATCATCTCGACTTCAAAATATATGAACATGAGAAAATAGAGATTTTAAATATTGAAAATAGTGCATCTTATAATCCATTCTTTGCACCGTCTATTTTCAAGATTATCAAGTGTTTATAGATTCGTTTGATCTACATGAATTTTTAAACTTTAAATTTTATAATTAGATATAAAAATAAATTTTTAGACCATCACAAAGATTTTTAATATTGAAATAACATCTTTCAGCACTATTTGAAGGCGCGCTTTATTTTGATTGTTTAGGGCCTCAGCTTTATACAAACTACCATGTTGAAGTTCTTGAAGTAACAATATTCTAAATATACCTCAATTAAGTAAAGGTATTTGGCAAGTCAGCCGACTCATGCGTCCACCTTGTTCTCGAAGAATTCAGCATTCTACATATCCTACATTGTAAATTCATTTCTGCCTCATATCTATGAATTTAGAGCTCCAAATCAGTGCATAATTAATGACCTTTAAAAAATTAAAATGAACAATCCAAAAATGACAAAATCGAATATTTTAAGGCTTAAAATTCATTTTTATTTTCAGATTTATAATAATAGTGGTCTAGATGATAGAACTGCAAAATTTAGATCCAAAATCCATGGCTTTCTTTGAGGGGTGAATTCACTGTAACGAGTGTCTCTAAATGCAGGAAGACCCTACTTCAATAAACATAACCATGTCAGAATTGACTTGAATGGCTTCTCTTTTTTACTATCAAAATCATTTTTATCAAAAATGCATCCGGTCTTAGTCAATGGTCAATCATAAGCCAATTTTATGCTAGTGTATCTTATCTCTTTTATGGGTTATGAGAAGTTTTTGTTTGAACTTTTTATGGGATTCTAATAACTCAATGACATATCTCATTGTAAAGTTTTATATTGACTATCTACTTAATGCAACCCAACTCTTTTATCCAGAGATAAGATGGACTTATATATATCTAAACATAAAATAGGGTAAAAAAAAGTTTGACACCTTCACCCTTCTTAAACCAATGGCTCATCTATTCTTCATTTTATTTATAATAAAATATTATTATCTGGACTTTTGATTTTTTGACATGATTTGACCATTTTATTGATATATTTTTTTATAAGATGGTATAGCATCCACAGTCCAAGTTATCATATAGACTTTTGATTTTTTGATGTGGTTTGACCAGTAAGGTTGCACAAGCAACTTACGCACCTTCAATTTTGATTTTTTGAGGTGGTTTGACCATTTTATTAATGTACTTTTTTTTTATAGGATAGGATGGTATAGCATCAAGCAACTTATGCACCCTTCAACGATTTAAATTGAACTTAACCTCATGCAATGGATGCAAAATAATTTTGTTTTTTATTTATTAAGAACTCTACAACGTCCACATCAGGGTGCACAAATTATTGACGGCACTTCAGATTTTTGGAGGTGGTTTGACCATTTACTCCTGTATTTTTTTTTTTTAAGCATCCACATCAGGTGCACAAGCAACCGATGCACACTTCAATGATTTAAATTGAACTTAGCCTCATGCAAGGCGGCAAAATAAATTCGTTTTTATTTATTTATTTGAGTAAGAATTCTATTTATATAAAATTTGGGGCATAGAAAATATAAATAATTATTTTTTGAAAAAAATTACACCAGAATACTATTTAAACTTCCAAGGGTATTTTGGGTTTTTTTTTTGTTCAAATTTCAGATAAATACAACTCTCAAATAATAAATAATAAATCAATTTATTTGTGGCCATTGGAAGAGACTAGGTTCAATCTAAACCATTAGGAGCGTGCATGTGCAAACTTTCTTTTTTTTATTTATAGGAAAATACCTCCGCAAGATGCACCATTTAACGTTTCATTTACAACTATTCGGTATTTTGAAATAAATTCAAACAATATGGCCATAATGTCAAATGGTACTCATCTCATGGGATAATTTTCCCTTATTTTTATTTGTAAGACATGTGAAAATGTAGGTTAAAGTTAGTCATATCTGGAGCACAGATAGTCTCCTCAACCATTTCAAAGTTTGCAAAGAAACCTTAATTACAATGACTCAAAAATTGGTAAATTCTTCTGAAACACTGAAAATTCATCCAAAAAACTAAAAAGCTAAAAATTTGTGATTGAAAATTTTCCAAAAATAAAGGTGCTATCTTTATTCCTTCTACTCGAAAATAGAAAACTAAAAAAAAAAAAAACCATTACATAATGGCATGGAGCTTTATTTATCAGCACTTTGAGCACTTAATATAAATTATAAAATTATAAGGAGAGTTTCTACTTTTCATGGAAAATGAAAGATTCAAGGTTTGTTAAATCAAACAAAATGAAGAGCATAATGACATAAATCCCAATAAAAGTTAGAATATGCAGTCTAGTATAGATGAATAATCATATTTGGTGGTAATAAGAAGATTGTTATTCAACCAAATGATTGTTCAATATTCAACCAAAATTTCAAAACCTCAAAACACATGGCTTTCTCAATTTCTAAGCTCATGGATTTCAATATCTCAAGACAACACCAAATATTCATAAAATTGAGCAAGTATTTCAAGTACCATCTGGCACCATTTATAGAAAATTGATGTTTCTTTTGCAAACTCATGAAATCTCTGGAGCATGATTTAATGCCATGAACATGGAATGTGAACAACCACATTTTCCTTTATGTGAAACTTTATCTGAAAACCAAGTAATGAAAGCGAGGAAAGACCCCTATAATCTCACACTATATGGAATTGCAACAATTGGGAATCCGAGGCCTTGACTTTGATCCTTTAATGTTTAAGTGCAAGAACATATGAACTAGTTGATAGGGTAAAACAAAATTATAATGTAAAATATTCATAAAAGCAATTTGCAGGACAATCTGCAGCTTTAAAAGAAAGGCAGGAGGAGAGCACATGATATCATTAAAATGATAACACCAATAATGACACCACTGAAAGAATAAAAGTAAATCTAAATGAAAGACAAAAAGAGAGCCAAAACAGTGAAAGTTTGTTCTAAAAATGGTCAAAACACAAAAATACACCATTTCTCCAAACAAGAAAATCTTAGTGAGCAAAAGATAAGAGAAAACGAAAAAAAAGAAAAAATAATACCAACTCTACCTGGTCCCCGTCCTTTAATGTAAAACCAAAGCACAATAACAACATTCGCCATATGATGAATTTTATCGTAAAGAATAAACCAATATTTGAATGAAAAAGAAGTGTTTTGCAAATCGACAAAAAAAGGAACCTGAGAAAGAATGAAAAAGAAAAAAGAATAATGTTAAAGAAACAAGATTCAATCATCAAACCAAGAAGTATCCAACACACTAAGACCCCGTTTGGGTGTTTTAGCACTCATCAAAGAAATGGACCTCGTGTCTTTTATGAGTAATCCTGAAAAACTTCTTATGCAGTCATAGTCATATTAAAGAAGTTCCTCTTATGCGAACGGAGAAAAACAGGTTCATTTCTTATGCAAATGGAGAAAAACAGGTTCATTTCTTATGCAAATGGTGGAAAAACATGTTCATTCCTTAAAATCTATTGGCAGCATTTTGGCACTAAGCAGGGTCACCAAAGGTAGCTTCCCCATGAATTGTGGCTGGATAGGCTGTGCCACCTAATACTCTTAAATGGGTATAAAAGAAAAAGAGATATTGACAAAAAATTCGTGCACCCAAATGGCGCCAAGGGACTGGATAAGCAACAACCAATGTATAGCTAGGATTTAACACAAATAGAAGATCAGACAACAGCTCAACAAAGGGAAGTTAAGCACTCCAACACTCAAGAGCAGAGACTCCCAGATCTAAATGGTGATTCACCTACATTTGATTGGACCTTCGTGCATAAGACCAAGGGAAGCGCTCATTCCTGTTCACTAGGCCAAGTGGTGAGAGCCCTAATAAATAGCGTCAAGAAGCTTTCTTGCATTTTACTAAATCTTTATGAAGCAAACTAAGGATTTGAAGACCCAAATCACTCAATCTATATTAGCAAGAGCAAGAAGCAATATGTCCAATTCTAATCAATCATCTGTAACAGCAACTCTTATAATCTCTTAAAAAACTTGATATCCTCTTTTGCATCTACATCATAAGTCTGAATGGACCTGGCCATAAACTCACTCAAAGAGGTAAGAAGAGGACTTGGTCATAAACTGCACTGCACCACTCAAGGGTCCCCTATCAATTGATCAATAACTTTGCTTTCTGGGACAATTCTGGTGGCTGAATAGAATAGGAGGAACAAAGTGAAAAAACAGAAAGAAAATGGAAGATTTTGACCATCAAAGCCAAATGCACTCTGGCCCTGTTTGGTAACTGAGAAAACATGAGAAAATGACCTATTTTCTCACCATGTTTTCTCCTGTTTGGGAATGGGGAAAAGTATGAAAACGCAGGGCCCTGCATTTCTCCCCGTTTCCACACTTTTCACCAATTTCGAGGAAAACTCCACTGCACCCCAATGGGTGCATTGCCGATTTCTTAGGAAAACAGGGGAAACACAAGACCCCCCCCTCGACCCCTTTTCATTTATCGACCCTCATAATCTCTCTTTCCTCTCAATCTCTCGTTGCCCAAGCTCTAGCCCGAGCTTTCTCCGATTTTCACAGATAGGTTACCAAACATGGGTTCTCAGCCTCCAGCTATAGTTTGCTACTTCTACCTTTTTCTCAAGCTTCAGTTTCTCATAGATTTTCCCGGAAAACAGCTTTCTTAGTTTTCAAACAGGGCCTCTATTTATTCAAAATTCTTCAAAATATTCAGAAACTCAATTCTCTTTCCAAGAGACCCTTAATTGTCTCCATTATCTCACTCACCGGATTACCCGTTCTCTTAATTTGGGAACATAGGCTATGCAAATTTAAGGCTTGATTTGGGCCTCTCCACTGTCAATCTTCTTAGCCTCCGCTGATATATGGCCATGAAGCCATGCAAACCTCGACTCTCAAGGACATCATGAACACTATCCACATCATAAACTGGAAAAATAAAATACCAACGACCACAAAAATAGGGATTCTATCATAGATTTTATCACAAATGATTCTATACTATTTAACATATCTTCTTTTATTATAATAAGTGATGTGTATGTCACACTTGATGTGTGCCACACTGCACGCAATAATAATCGTTCGTCCCAATGTGTTGTATCACCCGATCCTTCAAAAATCCTATAGGCCGCCTATCAAGATTGTAAAAGCAGAAAATAAAGAAAGATCACCTATATTGGTAAATGTTCATTAGATTCTACCTCCCTTAACAACCAATAACTTCCTAAAAAATGGGGAGACCGGATAGGAATGTTTGACATAGCCTGCTAACAAGGCGACAGGATTAGATAAAGCTGGCTAAATAAAGCCTTCCTAAAATAAGAGCCATTCCCAACCTCATTTATTAGTCTCTCGCATTTCCATGCACTGCACAGGCTGCGGTCTAATTTTAAGATATATTTCAAGGACTTTTATTTTACAGAGATTTCCTAGTAGATAAGGGATGGTCGTTTGGACATGTCACATGTGCTCAGTGATAATCAAGGACCAGATATTCCACGTTCAAGCCATTCATTCGATTGTTCCACACCCTCGAAGCTTTAAATAATGGAACCAGGTGGACACAAGGACATGGATGAAAGGCAGAGTCAGGTAGGATACTAACCATTGACTAAGAGGGTATGAAGAGATCAAACTTAAGCATTAGACTTAACCTACCATCCTAAAATCAGGACTTGAAAGGATGGGTAAGAGGATGAGGAAGTTAAATACGAGAACTACGATCTTTTAGGCCAGTTTGCATAATCCTATAATCCACAGGGTTAATCAGACGAAAAAGTGGCTCCTTTTCAAGTCATCATAGCCGAGAGAACAAATTTTCAAGCAACCAGGAAAGAAACAAATCTTACCGGATAAGTGGGAGCGGACCAAGTGTTGATTTGTTACCATTTCAAGTAAGTGGAGCAGAGAACAGAACCAGAAATACTTCTATAAGTGGACAGTTCTAATTGGTTCTCATAAAGACAGATGAGTTCTTGAATTTGTGGAAGAACACCGGATCAAATAGACTATCCTATATTAGCTTAACTAACTCGAATTTAGTTCCTATATTTCATTCGTTCCATTCAACCGATGAGACGGGCTGTGTTCCATCCTTATGCCATATACCCTGAACCACGAGTTCTTTCATTCAACAATGAATCCTTGTGCCTAAAGGCTAATGAAGACCTTCTCATCAGTCAACAATTCTATCTAGTAGCTTCACTATTATAGCGTCACTATTATCACACTCATTGTTATGCTTAAGGACTCTCTAGCATCTAGCATGTTGCCGCACGTTACATATCTAAAGAGCCCACCCTAAATCAAAAAGGAATTGAACAAACCCCGACAAGGAGGGGACCTTGAAAACTTCTTCCTAATCTCCACACATTTCTCGAATCCTAACCCTTCTTTCCAAAGACTTAACATTCTCCGTACCTACTGCTTATTGACCACCCAACCTCCATTCATCCATGCAAGCGAGTGACAAAAAAAAACAAGCATAAAAGAGTTTCAAGAACAGCATATTAAGCATAAAAAAACTACAAATCCCAGAATAGCATCCAACCTTAGTGATATGAAAGAAGAAAAATGACATCATTAGATCAATTTTCTCTCAATTTCTGTTTAAATAATAAATATGATCAGAAATCCAGGAAAATAAAGAAAGACCACATTACCAATGCAAAATGAAGCTTAAAACTAAAATGAATGGACAACGGAAGCAACAATGGCATCTTTATATTCAGTATATATTAAAGTTTTGAGTTCATAGAATGCAAGTTCTGCTTTAGGGGCCATATTCAACCCCGAAAAAGTAATAATAAAAACAATCAAGTAGCTCAAAGAAGAGAAAGAAAGGCATTCAGTCTACCATGCATTAACTCCAAGGCTTCTTATTCCACTACCCTGATTAAATCTTTCACAAAATCAAAGGTGCAAGATATCGAAGAACCCTCACATTTACCAAAATCCCATCCAAATTTCTCGCTACTGTTTTCATGATAATTCCTTCTTTCTGTCCACCTCTCTCTAAAGCACCCAGCCTTATTGATCTTTCTTCACTTCTTTTACCTTGGCAAGCTTCTCCAAATAGAATTCAACCCAAAGGTTCGAAATCCACAAAGCACTGACCGAAATCGCAGTAACCACAACTACAACCCATGAGAGAGAAACCCATCTCGGTATCACCCCATCTCCCCCTCCAGTAAAGTAGAAGACACCCATTTTGTACATGAAATACGGACCCATGAACCCCCTTACCAGTGTATACACAAAGTAAAAAGCAGGGGTTAAGGAATCATACACTTTGGCTGCCATTTTTGAGTGAGCTCTTTGCAGTCGAGCAAGGGTCCAGGTGTTTTGACATGCGCTCGTGAGCTCGGCAAGAATGAGGAGAGAGAGAATACCGGGAGCTCCATAGCCTGTGAGATACCGACAAGTAGCGAGAACGAAAATGGTGGCAACATGGTGACCAATGAAGAGAACATCACTTGGAAAGAAGATCAGGTAATGAAGGATGTCGACGAGAAAGTACGCAATGCTATAGTCGAGAATTGCAGCCTGAAATGGGGTGTTGGGTCCTGCAAAGGGGAAGCTCTCAGGGAAGTTCTTGGGGTTTGTAGAGAGAGATAGAGCGGCTTTCGCGAATTGGGGTTCGGAGGATAGAGAGAAAATGGCCATTGCAGCAACTGGGGTGCCATGGGCTAGAGAGATGAAGCAGCTTGCTGCTTCCTTTCGAAATTCAGGGCGATGACGGCGGAAAACAACGAAGTAGGCGGAGAGATAGACGAGGAGAAAGAAGGCCAAGGATGGTAAGAGGGCCGGGAAATCGAATTCGAGCATGACGGGCGATGGGGGTCTTCTCTCTTTCTACAAATATTTAAGGTTACTGGTTTTTTATCCAAGAGATTGAGATTGTTCGTTTAAAAGCAGCTAGTCTTCTCTCTCTTGGTTTTAGTTGTTTCTCTCTCTTCCTATAGGATTTCTTGCTGGCTCTGCTCTGATGGGCAAGGGTTTTGGGTTCTCTCTCAATACATATTAGGGCAAGGGTTCTTCCCTGTCCCCCTTCTCTCTCTTCTGCAATTTCAAGGTTGTTGTTCTTTCTCTCTCTTCTGGGATACGGGTACGAAGATATTCTCTCTGCTCCACGTGCATTGAGCGAGGAGGGATTACGCTGGTTTTTGAAATCGAGCGGAGAGAGAGAGAAAGTAGTTGCGCTTCCCTAGAGTGAGAAACCCGGGAGGAGCCTGGGAGAATTCATATCACACTTCCCTAGAAACATAAACCTGCAACTTCATACGCAGGCGGGCGACTCAACGCTCTTCCCTGTGGCTTAGAGAGAGAAAGACAAGTCGCATTTCCTAGAGAGAGAAGTGGCAACTCCTAGAGAGAGAAAGTGGACTGCAACATGCAGGAATTGGGCAAAACAGTAGGCCTGCCTTTGGGAAGAGAGAGAAACTTAGCAAATGTTGAGAATTCAAGCACACGTCAAACAAGAGAGAGAGAGTAGGAAAGGGGGAAGGTTTGAAGTGAGAGAAAATGAGAGTTAGAGAGAGAAAGTGAGGAGGGGGGGGGTGAGTTATTAAGGTCATGGGAGATCACAAGGCAGGTAGGGAGATGGTAGAGAGACCATATATTTATATTGGTCCATGTAACCAATAAATTTTATGTGCTTTTGAGTTTTACTACTTCTATAATATTTTCAATATTTTTATGTTTCAGAAAAATATTATTTTTTAAATGCCTCGACTTCGAAAATTGAATGTCTAAATATGGTAACAACTTTAGCAAAATAAAAGAGAATTCTTTCGGTGTTATTTCAGACTTTTAAAAATGATTACAATTTGAGAGCGAAATTTATTTTTATTTTTTTGTATAAAGGCTTCAGAACTTTAAGATCTGTTTGTTTTAAGTATTGAATCATATTTTCAAGATTGAAAATAAATTTTTTTTATTATCATTCAAAATAAAAAAAAGTATAAACATAAATTACAAAAACAATTTAAATTTTTTTTACAAAAAAGAAGATATTTAAGCACGTGTCTCTAAAATACAAGGAGATAAGTATGAGAGGACATTCGTGGAGTTTGGATGATAGTGGTGACATAGAAGGGAGTAAGCGGGAAGAGAGATAAGAGAAGCTTAGAAAGAGACAAAAACAAAGGTAGAGAGAGAGAGATTTTGAATAATGATTGAGAATTACGTGGGAAAAGAAGAACGTAAGTATCCATGGTGGGGTATTAAGAGTAGTAATAAGTTGGACCAACGGCCAGGGCTGTTAGCCTTGGCCCTACCCCGGCTCATATCTTGATAGGGCTAGCCCAAGTTAAGTCTTAGCCTTGTTAGGTCGGGTCAAACGAAAAAAAAAAAATTAAAAAAAAAAAGATTGTGTCGAGTTAGGCCGACGCCGGCCCTGACCCGGCTTTCATCCTACTTGACCGGGTCGGGGCACCCAACCAAACCCATTGCCGGCCATGTAGATTATACGTTCTAATAAAAAGTGGGGTATATATCTTAGAGAAGATCTTTGGAGAGAGGGAAGTTCAAATTATCTCCAAAATGGAGAGAGATATTGTAGACAATGTAAATGAATAAAAAAGTAGACAGAATTATCGCCACCTAGGAATATGCTACCATGCCCAGCTGGATATGCTTTGGGATGGTTGAAATTTAATACATGCATATCGAAGATTGAAGACAAAATATCAGAAAACTGTCAAATCACAAAAAAGAATTAATCACATTATTATATTTGCTAGTAAAATGGTTACCTGCAAATAGCCTTTCGAGCAAATACCTTTTCCACATGATTTTTTTTTTTTAAAAAAAAAAAAACCTAAATTTTGTAACTGAAGATGAAAATATATTTGGAAACTTGTTTCATACGGGGTTGAAGGCAGAAAGTGTTAAGAATCCATCTTTAAGATGGATGGAAGTAAGTGTTTCATTTAAAAACAATAGAAACTAACGGTCTAAATTTTTTTTTACTAGAATTATTATTTTTTTAAAAAAATTTATTTATTTTTTTATATTCATGTTCCTTATGTTAGAGATTACATGTCCTTAAAAATGAAGTCTTAAAATCCATCTCAAAAATAGATTTATTAAGAAGGCCCGCATTTCTACATATGCAGACTTAGCCGCATAGAAACAAGCTCCAATATATTTTAAGATTGTCACAAATATTTCCAATATTGAAACAACATTTTTCGAACTATTTGAAGGTGTGCTTTATTTTGATTGTTTAGAGCTTCCGCTCTATAAAAATCGCACTTTTATTTTTTAAAAAAAAGTTTATATAAGGTTGCAACCTTAAAATGTAGAATTGTATATGCCCATAAAAAATCCAACGGAAAATATTGTTTTGATATTGAAAAACCCTCTAATTGATCATCTCGACAGCAAGATGTATAAATATGAAAAAAAATAAATGATGTTGAGTCCCATAAAAAGTGCATCTTGCAACACACTATCCAAACCCTCCATTTTCAAGATTTTCACATGTTTATAGCTCTACTCGATTTTAAACGTTTTTGGAGTTTAAAGTTTTATAATTAGATATAAAAATACATTTTAAGATAATCCTAAGAATATTTTACACCAAACCAAAATTACATGTTATAGTAAAATTTAGAGGTATGCAAATTGTTTAAAGTTGCAACACTATAGAAACCACAGCCTTATTTAAAAATCTTGAATAACATAAATTACATCCACCAAATGACTTTCACATCTGTTTGTTCTAGATTCCAAACTATAAGCATTTTCGTTTTTAGCCCTATCCAAGATGATTATAAATATACCAGAAAGGACAAGGTTTCCATGTGTCTGCTCACTTATTTATTTATGTTTCTATGAGGACAAGGTTTCCATGTGTCTGCTCACTTATTTATTTATGGAGGTTCTCTCTCGAAAATTCATATTAGAGATTTTAGATCCAATTTTTTTTTTTTTGAGGGGTTGACAATCTATATCATGCTCAATATAAATATAAAAAACCAATTTTAGAAGTAAAAAATAATATTATTGTATGTTTGATTATTTTGTTTCCCATTGATTTGTAGATTTTTCATGGGACCACCACTTTATAACATCCATCTTTAAGATGGATGTTAGTTGCGTCAAACAATGCACATGTAGATTTGCATGGCAAGCAAGCTACACTTTTTTTTGGCGTAAATATCACAACCTAGTGACCTTACATCTTTGCTAAAAGACTTCATGCTCCTATGGGAGTAATGTGTCCATTTAATCCCTTGAGTAAAACCAAATCTAGGAGTAATTTTAGGACACCAAAATATAGAGATGTAACCCCTTCAACCCATAGAGCCTCTTTAGATGACATTTAATTTTATTTGGTATAAACTAACTTATCTAAAATTGATATATTCTAGATAATATTATCTTGTTGGTTGTTTGGTATGTTTTTTGTATTAGGTATAATATTGTTTTATTATTAACTTTATCATAATATCCAACTACTATTAGCTATTTCAGGCTAAAAAATATATAATTTTCAGCATATTACTTTATGATGGACACTCACAAATAACAAGTAATTCATTATCAGACATAATCTTATTGAAATAGTGAACTATTAGTGCTAATGAATACATCCAGCAAGAAGATGAACAAATTCGTTGGAGATCTCAATGGACGGTGAGATCTAAGTGTGAAAAACTCAAAATTCAAAACTTTTTTTCTTTTGAAAAATAATCACATACCGCTTCTTAGGCAGTTACAAAATTTCAAATCGAAAAAAATCCTCCTAAATAGGTCTTCTGACCTAGGGAGTAGATGTCGAGTATACTCTTGTGGTAGCATAGTATATGTGCTCAACATCTTTTAATAAAGAAGCGTTTGCGTTGAGTTTAGATCTCAAAGAAGCAAAAATTTTCCTTTTAAGTAAAATGCATTTAGTTGTTTAGGGGTTGAAACTAAGAAAATGGCAATTAGGGCCTCTTGTGACAAAATAATCAGAGAGATAATAATTGAAAATAACTTTAAAAAAGGAGCACCTTGTCAATAAATTAGTCCATCTAACTACCATATGGATTTTTTGAAGGAAATTTTTTTGATAGAGCTGCAGCCAAGCCTCACATCAAACTCACAAAAAATTATAACTATTGCATTAGAAATCCTTCAAATGGATCATCTCAATCTTGATTATTATGCTTGTGAAAAAGAATTAGGATTTTGAACCTTAAAAAAAAAATATTACAACAAACTATCTACATCGTTTATTTTTAAGTGTTCGCATATCCACAAAACCACTACCCTTTTTTGAGCTACAAGTTTGATAATCAGTGGTGGCAATTGATTTTAGAGCCATGGTAGAGATTTCGCATCCCACGATGCTTTCTAGATGAGCTCTCGAAGTGAGCTGTACTTTGCTTTTCATAAGGCCCAGGCCTTTTAGAAACTGCATCCTTTTTTTAAATAGTTAAAGACCATTTTATTAACGGTGGGATTTTTATAAGGGGCCAACCTTAAAAACACAATTTACGGCCCAGGCCTTATAAAAATTGCATCCTTTTTAAAAATAGTTAAGACCATTTTTTCAAGGGTGGAGTTTTTATAAGGTGCCAACCTTGAAAACACAAAGTAAGGCTCACGTTTAAATATTTGCTAAAGGACAATTTAAAAAGCCCAGGCCTAAAAATTTATTTTCATCCCTCGTTATGAAAATTTAAGCACCAAAAATAGTCAGAGCCGAACGGATTCATAAACAATTGTGAAATTTAAAATGGATACTCTAGATAATGTGTTACAAAATACATTGTTTTAGGACTTGAAACTCCTTTTTTTTACATATTTATACATCTCGAAGTTGAGAAGATCAATAGTTTTTTGACATCAGATCAACCTTTTCACGTGGATTTTAGAGGTGCACCTTACTGAATACATTAAAAGATTCATGCCTCATAAACTTTTTTGGGAAAAGTTTCTATGCTTCCCCTACAGCATAAAAGTTTTATCCTCCCCCTACCATCCAGCTGTCTAATTTTGATCAAGAGTGCCACTCACCATTTGATCTTAGATCCAATGTATCAAAGTATTTTATTTTTAGTTTTTTTTTATACAAATTGCATGAATATAAAATTTGATATGTGCCATCTTCTCATTGGGGTGCACCTATAAAAAATATTAAAAATAATTTTTCGATAAAATATAATGACCAAAATACCCCTTGAAGTTTTCAAGGGTATTTGGTCATTTTATTTTATTAAAAATACTTTTTTTTGTACTTTTCGCTAGTGCGAGTTTAATAGAGGAATGGACATCCAAAATTTGGTGTTAAAATGGTTTATAACAAAACTATTAGAAATAAAATAGGTTAGAGACGTGACATTGTGATTTGGGCAATCTTAGCTTTCCATTCAATATGGACGGCTGGATAAGGGAGAGGATAGAACTTTTATGCTGTAGGGGAAGCATTGAAAGCTTGCCCCAACCTTTTTTAGTTAATATTTTTATTGAGAGAAATGTGCATGTAGAGAGCAAGATAATATGAGAAATTATATTATCTCTAGTAGATACACACTTTTTTAGTTCATATGTTGATTGAGAGAAATGTGCATGTGGAGAGCTACATAATATGAGAATATTATACTATCTCTAGTAGAAACCATTTAATCAATGGATGGATGGTTAGAATAAGTAGGAACCACTAGAACAATATAATACTCCAACCATACTTCAGCTATTATGTATTGCTAACCTTGGACTAACCAGGGTAGCATCATCATTTAGCTTCGACCGCTTAAGTTGGTCGAATTACAAAAATGCTCCTACTTGTTCAGAAATCAGGATCTTAGAGGTAATTTAGTTATTTTTTAATATATGAGGTACTTGAGGAAAATGGATATTGAAAAGTAGAGATTGTATACAATGAGATTATTTATTTTTATTGCAAAGAGGTCACAATCACTCTTATTTATTAGATATCAAATTAGATGGTTTGGGCAAGTCCTTGTACAAAAAAAAAAAGTAAATGATCTCTTTGTATATTTTTCTAAAAAAACAAGCATTTTAATAATAAATGGGATTATTTGACACCTAAATGATTTTGTAAGAGAATTGACTATTTGCCCGCTATTTCGCTAAGAAGCATCATGTATAAATGTTCTAAAAGACTTCATCTTTATTTATATATATATGAAAAAGCTGAAATTAACCCAATATCGCATATGAACATAAAAGCCTAACGGCCCAGATTGAATCTGAATCGATCTGACTATCACAGATGTCCAATAGTGTTTGAATTTAAATACTTTTTCTACAAACACAAGTCACTCAAAATTTTACAAGTGTGTTCATAAAAAATAGTTGAATATTTGAAAAATATCAAAAATATATTTTACATGAAATAAATTGACTAAAATACCTCCAAAAAGCTTTAGACGTATTTTGGTCATTTTATTTTTTGCGAATAATGTTTTTTATATTTTTATTAAGTGCGTCTTGATAAAAAAAACACATATAAAATTTCAAGTGATTTGAATTTGTAAAAAAAAAAAATTTAATTTAAACACAAAATGAAGTCGTAACCGTCAGATTAAACTAGATTCAATCTGAACCGTTGAGCTCATATGTTCATATACGCTAGTGGGCTAATCCCAGCTTTTATATATACATATATATATACATATATATATCACAAGAAGCTAATTAATTTTTTGAAAGCTATTTGACAAGAAAAACATTGACTTGTGTAGTTAAACTAGAAAAATGATAAAAAAAAAAACAATAAAAAAAGGACAGTATACAACAAGACCATTTATCTTTAGTACATTGAGAACTTAAAACACCTGTGGCAATTGGATATGAAATCTATCGGAGGGAATGCCATTGTGCATTGCTCAAAGTCCAAAAGAAAAAAACGCTTTTAACTTTGCGGCACACACCTAGCCATCGGATTTTACATCAATGACTAGGGTAACTGTGACCTTTTTATACCTAATGTAAATGGCCGTTACAGTATTCAATCCCATCAAAATATATTTGCAAACATTTGCAGGACTTGACAAGAAAATGCACATATAAACAAAATTTTCAATAAACAATATAAAATTCAACTGGCGCCAAATGATAGAATTACATATCACGAATTTACAATGACTACTATGGGACACTTATTCAAGGAGCCTAGATCTACTAAAAGAGTCTCTCTCTCTCTCTCTCTCTCTTTGTGTTTGTGTTTGTGTTTGTACGTGCCACCGCACGTGCGCTGCAATGCATGCAAGGAGGCTCAGACAAGGTGGAATAACTCCTAGGCGTTAAGAATTCCCATTCTTGGTATTGTACTAATCTATCAACCTAAAGATGCCAATCACTTGAAAACATTAACTAACAAATATTTCAATAAATACAAAGGGATGTGTTTTCGGCAAAGAGACATGCTCAAATTCGGATGATCGAAGCACTTGTTTGGTCAGGATTATTAAGGTAGCTAAGCTCGACAAAAGTACCTCCACTAACTCCCTTGGCCAATCTTCCAGGATTGATACATAGACATCTTGAGTACTTTTCAGTATCACTACCTTCTCCAAAAGGTAGAGCCTGAAAAACAAGAACAAGAGTACAATACCTACATTTTCAATAAAAACATACATTTATTTATTTTATTATTATTATAATTTTAAAATGGAACCCCAACAACCAGGAATATCCTTGTAGTTCAGATCACTGGAATCTCTCAAAAGTTAACAGCCCCAAAATGACCAAAAATGCACTTCCTGTGCTAGATTTCAAAGTCGTACTTTTGGGATTTCAATAAAAACATGAGCATTAGTCTTGAGGCACAATATCAACATTAAGCCACTAACTAAAAAATGATGTCCCTTGGAATAGACACATTGTTAGTTATAATAACTTTCATTAGTTAAAATAACTTTCTTTTGTGATATAAAAGCTAGATCGGCCGGTTGAACAGGCCACCGCTATACCGGTATGCGATCTGGATCAATGGGAATCAGGGAAAATATTAATAAAAAATAAAATTCAGGTGAGAATCAAGAGATTATAGGGTCCACCGACCCAAATTGCCCTCCCACCGATCCCAAATCCTATAGGGAGAATCCGGTTTGACCAAGTCTTGTTTAAAACAATGCTCGCTACTATGAACATCACCTCATAAATGCTATTTTCATGCAGTGTACTTCCCTTGACAATACGAATTTTTTATGGCACAGGTAACAAATGACAAACCACTGCTGAGTAAACAAGGATACTAAAGATATGATTTGTTGGTTATTTAGGAATTATTAAGACATTAACCTAAACATCAACATGCAACAATTTTGGTGGACATGGGACGTTAAGGATACATGCATGCAAAAAACATGAGCGCCCATGTATGTATGTGTATATAGGTCATTACCCACATGTTCATAATATGGTGAACTTTGTTATCCTACGCATGACCTGTTGGGACCCAGGCCCACTATTGTAGATCATTTCATGGCTGCGGATGGCTTTTGTCGCCTTTCAAGGTTAATGATTGAAAGTCTTTATAATGCAATGACAAATAATTTTTGTTCAGCAACTCTAATAAAGCACGAATGTGTGTAACAATTATATAAGAAGTTAGAGCCTTTTGCTTTTACTGATTCATGGCCACGGGCAATGACAAGGCTACCATTGTCCAAAACTGGTTTGTAATTGAGGGCCTGGCCACTTTCTGCCCAAAAATCTGGAATATCTTAATAAAGTTTATCTTACTAGAGAATGTTGGCAAATCCCAAATGCATACAGAGAAACACACACATACATGTATCCATGTATGCATGAGTACATGCATGCGTACATACATGGTAAACAGATAAAAGCAAACTAAGACACAAATGTGTATATGTGCATGCAGATGCGCATAAACAACTATACATACATGAGTGCATCTAGTAATTCATAAAACAGATTTAGTCATACAAGAAAGATATGACACGTGAAAAATATCAGATACCTTAATAAACGGCGCAAGGTCAGAAGGCATGAGAAGAAGATCAGGTATGGAAGCCATATGTAATGCTTCGGGTGCAATAGAAAAATCCAAAGGCAGTCCTACTGAAGGCGGGTAAACAGGGTAGAAGCTGCTCAAACAAAACAGAAAAAATGGCATCAACCCTAAAAGGTGGTTGCAAAAATGCAAGGACAGAATTAAAATGAATTGATAAAACTAGTGGTAATAACAAGATACACAGAGGAGAAACTAAATATTACGAGAAAAAAGAAAGACAAAAAGGTCAACAAAGCGTACCAGCGTTGCTTTATGACATGCGATACAAGGCGTCCAATACGGTCAATTGACAGTGCATCAGTGCTCATCCGTGAAACCTCCTCACCACTGAGCTGCTTTAGGACATCTGCAGTGCAGCATCCTATAGTAATCTGCCACCAGCCAACCCTAGAGTGAGCATACGACTTTTACGGCAAGTATAAGAAGAATATTAAACTAAGACCTACATATGCTTCAGTCACCTTTTCACCAAAAAAGAAAGGACCTGCTTACTACTTGGGAAACAACTCTCTCTCTCTCTCTCTCTCTCTCTCTCTCTCCATTAGAATCATGTTCTATAATTATGTTTGTTGAATAGAATAGGGATTTTAAAGGCATCAATATCGGTTATAGCCAGAGTTGCCCTAGAACTCAGCCACTGCTTGAGGCGATTTGACTAGGCGAGCCTCTTTCTTTGAAAATCGTACTCTTTAGAGAATATTCACTGGATTTTTTGAAGACTCGAATAGAGACATTCAGACTCAGGTAGACTAAGCCTTGGGCGAGTCCAAGTCAGATTTTCCAAGGATTAAAAATGGGTTATAGCATGTCTAACAAATGAAGGTCGCTAAGATTACGTAGATTCAAGGTACAACATAAACTGCAAAGAACTTATATAAAAAACAAATACATAGATTTTGATTCTGCATAGAAATTGTAATTTTTATATCGGCCAAATTCACACATATTACTAGGTTAATTTGTATCATAGTTTCGAATCTCACTCAAACATACAAATATTTTTTTGGGAATCACTATAGGAGGCCCTCCACCATGCATTTCTTAAAGGCTTGAAAACAGAAGCAAGTAAATATGAGATCATCTAGTGGAACTTTAATTGAAAAATCATTTGAATAGATGGAAGTTAGAAGATACAGCCAATATCATGGCTCCTAAATAAAACATATAGCAATATGGCAATCACATAATGATAACAGATATAGATGCAAATGAACACTTTGAAGAACATCCATTGGATCTATTCGAATAAACTATGCAAGAATACATCAAACAAAAACTTTTGGAGAAAGTTTACATAAGGTATCAACCTTATACTGTAGAAGTAAGGTGCAATTTAAAAACCCTTTGGAAAATGTCATCCTGACACTGGAAAATACTCCAATTGATCATCTTGACCTCAAGATGCATTATCAGTGTTCAAAAAAGTAGACCGCCCAGCGCCTAGGCGGTCCAGAAGGCCTGGGCGCCTAGGTGGCCAAACTAGGCTACAATCCTTGGCCGGCCACCCAAGGCCTGCGCCCTGCCTATAAGCAAAAAATTTTTTTTTTTTTCATTCTATTGATTTTATTAAAATATAAAGGGTTTCAAATGATGGGTTTTAGGTTCATTGGAAACCTAAACCCACAAGAACCCATTTTAGAGAGAAAGAAACCTCAAAAAAATATCATTTTCTAACTTTCATTGGAACGAAGTTGGATCGAAATGTTTCTCAAAGTTACGAAAAACAGATCCAAACATCACCCAAGTAGATTTGATTTAGTTTTGAAGTTTTATAATCCTATTAGAGGGTGTTTTTTTTATTATTTTAGCATCAGAAAACATCTGAGAGGTGGGACTTTGGAGTTCGAGCAATCAAAGTGCAAAACTTTATTTTTTAGATTGTTTGTTTTATTTTGAGATGTCTTCTTCAAGATCTAGTCGAAGTAGAGATCCGGGTTGGAAATATGGATATAACCCGAATCCAAATGGCAAAAATTACATTAGATGCAATTTTTATGAAAAAAATACATAAGGGGACATAAACCGGTTTAAGAAACATCTTGCCGATATTAAGGGGAATGTTGCCCCTTGTAAAAATGTTACTCAAGCTATCAGAGAGGAATATATGAGTTTTATAAAACAAAAACATGAACAAAATCCTTGTCATTTGAATAGATCTATTTCTGCTACTTCTAGAAGAAGTGACCCAGGTTGGAAGTATGGTTATAACCCAAAACCAAATGATAAAAATTGTATAAGGTGTAATTTTTGTGAAAAAGATACCAATGGGGGTATTAACCAATTCAAGAAATACCTTGCTGGTATTAAAAGGAATGTTGTTTCTTGTACAAAGGTTCTTGAAGCTATTCGGGATGAGATTAGACAACTTCTGAATTTTAAAGAACCAAAAAATGATAAAAAATGAGACTTGTTCTATGGAAATATCTTCTCCAGGTTCTTCTAGAAGTGGTGATCCGGGTTGGAAGTATGGTTATAACCCAAATCTGAATGACAAAAATCATATTAAATGTAATTATTGTGGAAAAGATACTAATGGGGGCATTTACCGGTTTAAAAACCACCTTACCGGTAATAAGGGGGATGTTGCCCCATATAAAAATGTTTCTGACGCTACTAGAGAGGAAATCATACAATATTTGAGTTCAGGGAAGCACAAAAAGATAGAAAAAGGTAGAGCAGCCAAGACTCCTAAGGCCTCATCTACACATACTAGTAAGGAGGTAGATGAAGAGGAGGAGGAAGAGGCAGATTCTTAAGAAATAGAGGATGACAAGCATTATATTGAAGAGGGAGATGACTCTGATGATGACAGTCTCAATTCTAATGCATATAATGAAGCTTACCCTATTCTTTCTGATGATGATGATGATGATGATGACTAAAGACTCTTGGTGTTGAGTGTTGACTGTTGTGTTGAGTGTTGAGTATTGACTAATGTGTACATAGTCTCATGGATTGTATATTTTCTCTTTCTTATTTTTCGTTTCTACTTTCTAGTTTCTAGTTCTCCGTCTACTATCTAATTTTTGTACGTACAGTCTACAGTGTATCAGACTATCAGTGTATGGTTTTACTGTTTTGGATTATCAAAAATTCAAAATTCTCTTCCCGACTTCTATCGTCTTTTTTTTTTTAACTGAGATCATGGTCTTATGGATTATCAAAATTCTTATGGATTAATCATTATTAGTCATCAGTTTTTTTTTTTTTCAACTGGGCCTCAGCTCTCAGTTTTTCTATTTTTTTTTCAACTAAGCCGCCCAGGTTCTAGGCACCCGCCTAGGCGCTGGGCGGCCTAGACCCTTATGGCCGCCTCGTTGCCACCTAGTGCTTTTTGAAACACTGAGCATTATGGATATGGGAAAAAAGGATTTCAAGTTATGAAAATAGTGTGTCGTGTATCTCTTACTTTAATACCAAGTTAACATGTTAAAAAAAAGTAGCTTATCCTATAATGCATTATCTGGACCGTCCATTTTCAAGATTATTAAGTGTTTATAGATCTACTCAATTTGGGCCATTTTTTCGACAAAGTTTGAAAATGTGTCGTCCTTTGGTTGTTTAAGGTTGGGACATTATACAAACCTCACCCAAAACTTTTAAAAGTCCTATTTGCTCTTTTCAATGACATTAGCCAGCAGAAAGTAGGATATAACCATAAAACATTGGAACATGGAAGCAAACAATGTTATAAACCAATGTTAGAAAAGCAACCGAGTCGACTCTGACTTGGCACATTGCCAAGGCAAGTTCTTTAGGCAAACTTGGGTGATTAAAAAGTCTAAACAAAATCAAAAGTTTTTTTTAGTAAATCACTAATTGAGGATGTAAAATCTATATAATGTTTATTTTTTATGATGGTTTGTAACTTTTCTTATACGTTATCTATTTCTCTATTTTTTCATTTCCTTTTGGCTTTTTCTGAATTGTTTCAAGCTATAAATCAATTTTTTCCTGTTTCCCTCTTTTGTATATCTTTTTCTGTTTCTTTTATACTTCAAAAAAAAAATTCTTTTTTTAAAAAAAAAATTAACAGATATCTTTTTGTTGCATTTTTTAGCCCTTTTTGGGCGCATACACTACTGGGGTGAGTCCACTTGGATTTGCCGGACTTACTAGTATTGGGCAGGGGTTGAGTTGCCCAAACCGAGTTTTTTAACATTGTTATAAACTTTGCTCAAATAAATGTATATCTACCTCATTTGAGATTAAAACCCCAGGATTCGCAAGACAGGTAATCTGTAGCAAAAATAAAACAGGAAGTCAAATAAAGAAATTCTAACCAAATACAAAGGCATAATTAGAAAAAAAAAAAAAAAAGACAAAAGGAATTCAATAAGTCAGATTATGCACTCAATGTATTGCACATACTTGCTGATCAGGATCTGTCGATGGATAGATTTCAAATGGAGGCTGCAAAGTAAATAATGTAAAGAGTTAATTCGTGGAAGCATGTGGAAGGCCAAGCATATGTATCCATACAAATTCTGATACACCTAATCAATCACCTGAGGGAAAACAAAGTCATTGTGAGCATCACGGGTAGATGGAACCAGCACAATACGAGCAGCCGGACCCATATGTGCACAATAGTCATGCAGCTGAAAGTAAAGAATAATGCATTAAAGAAGCAATGAAATGTAAGAATGTGTTGTAATTTGATTTATACACCACGAAACCAAAAACTCATCGGTATACAAACCTTATTTAGAATTTCCTCTTGGAAGACTTCAGCAAAGCTTTCATCAATGGTTCCTTTCTTTATCTTGGGGTGTTCAGTATCAACAAATGGCCCCATCTGCCAGAGTTTTGAAGAAGTTAAAATTGCTCTTGAATGGTTGGAGTCCCATATACATCATGGTGTTAAAAAAATGGCTCACCAATATCAAAAGTTGTGGTTGTTTCCTCCTAGCATATGCAAGCAATTCTGTTAGTGGCTCAAATAATAGGTTATCAGTGGTACTGAGAGGACCTGCTGCAATAACCTGTAGCACATACACTGAATTTCAGTACTTACTAACAAAAGAAAAATAAACAAAACAGAAGACAAAAAACAAAGTCTAAACATGAAGGGCATGAGAGATATACAATTGATAATTCTCTTGAAGCCTTTGTGGCCGGTTCACCATTTTGGTCCGTGGCTTGCTTCTTTGCAGGTGGCAAATCCAAATCAGAAGAACCAATAAGTGGAAAAGAGTCGACCAATTTTGATGCGATGAAACAGTGGCCACTAGGATTGTGTCCCTCAATTCCAATCACCTGGTAAGGTCACTCAATCTAATTATCTAGCAAATACAGAATGCAGCAAATTAAATAACAATATAACCAATAAAAACTAATTTACTAACAATCTACAGAATAATATACAATTTGGTCAAAACAGATACATACCTGACCTGGAAATAAGGAAAACTGAACCAAATTCTTGAGGTCAAGGCGCACTCGCTGGCCCCCAGAATGCTCCACACTAGCACACAGCGAAAATAAAGTATGACAGAAAATATAAATAAGCTAAATTTGTAGCCAGTATATGTGAGATAAAAGTATATCATATAGTCCAATTAACTATGGAGAAACATAGTCCATTGTGTAATTAGTAACTCTATGACATTAGTACTTAATGAAAGAATTGGAGAAATTGAATTCAACAAAAGAGTCAGAAGTACAAACCTGCCCTGAAATAAAATCGACTTGTCATTCAGACGCCCTTCTCCATCACAGCATACCATTCCGACAGAAAATAATGTTTTCTAAGGCAAGATGCACATCAGAGTTATTTGACACTCATTTATTTTAGGGAATGACATGCAAGACATCAAAACATAGACCAGAAACAGGAGGAAGCAGCTTAGGTCCTCATTATTTTTCATTTGATTGATTAGTTGGGTACTCATAATTACTTCAGCAAATTACCCAAAAGCCACTTCAAAAAAAAAGGATTACCTGTGAGGCCAAAGTAGCATCAGAGGGTTCTCCACATTCTCCTGAGGCAACCAGTGCAGATGAAAGTCTTCGAATGCGATTTTCAAGGGCATTAAACTACTTAGCCGATGCAAAAAAAAAAAAATCATTAGGAATTCATTATTCTCTTGATAGTTCATTAGAAATTTGCATAAAGGACAATGAAAGCTTATTGATTAAGCAAAATACATTCATAGAAATAATATCCTTTACCCTGTCCTCAACTTTGTCATACATGAAGCGGAAACCTGGTTTTGGCCACGAGCCTTGAACTTGCAAGGAACAACTTTCAATATCTTGGACTCTTCTAATGACATCATCTCCTAAAGCGTCAATTTCTAGGTCTTTTGTATCATCTGCTTTAGAATGAGAATTAAATGAAAGCTGCAACAAAAATTTGTTTGTTCGTTGGCCAAAAGGGGTTGCTTGACTGCTCGTCCTTCTTGAAGATTTTTCAGAAATAGACTTCCCATTCCTTTCTGGAGATCTATCCATAGAGATGGGGGTTGATAGATCATTGAGGTTGTCAAAATAAGACTGTTTTATTGGGGTATCAAGCATACCCTCTTCACCATCTTTGTGTTCCTCACCCAACAACCTGCACGAAGTGAGATAGCTAATAATAAATATGCGATAAATAATTAATTAACCAAAGCAGTAATAAAATCTCCACATATGCAGTTGAGATTAGCAATGTGGTCTAGTTTTCTGGTTAGAGTGTCTTAAAGACACAAAGGAATAAAATTTAGTTGGCCATTAAAAAGGAAAATGTGTGCACGTCATTCAACCTATTATTAATAATCAAACTACCAATGAGAACAGATGCTCACATGTTCACGTCATTGCTGGAGTACATATGTACATTGGACTCTTCCTTAAGAATATTATGCTTCTGTTTATTCTGAAGGTGATGGAGAAAACCATCCACATGAGCATTTTGCACCTTGGATCCATCAAGCTGCCTGACAAGTGAGAATATTCCATTGTCTTGTAAATAATGAATAATTGAGACACATCAAAACAAATTACAAACACAAAAACTTCTAATATGGAATGCAACTTAAAACAACTCAGAATTGATATAAAAGCAATCAAAGAATCACAAAAATCTATTAAAAATTAATCCTCTATGGAAATAACAATAAGTCTGTCATTGCAGATATTGTACAATCAAATTGGGTAGATTATGATCACCAAAGAGCACATTTGAGATCTTCACTTTTCAGTATAAATTACGGATTTGCAAAAACATAAGGAAAAGAGAAAATACGCAAAAAGTGCATAATATGATACCAAGGACATATGAACTAAACTCGTGTGTCACATTTGAGTTAATAAATAACAGACAAACACAAGAGGGTATGGCCCAATTGTAAAATTAACGCATCAATGAAACAACTACATTAAACTTGATAAGCAGAGACAGTTTAAGCACATAAGAAATCTTACATGTTGAGATAATAGACTTCCCAACTGTTAAAGCATCAATAAAACAACTACATTAAACTTGATAAGCAGAGAGAGTTTAAGCACATAAGATATATTACATGTTGAGATAATAGACTACCCAACTGGAGACCAGATCAGAAGGGCTTAGCTTGTAATTAATGCAAAAGGCAACACCTGAAAAGATAAATAACACACAATTAATAAAAGGGAATAAACTGAATGCACTGAAGTAGAGAGGTATACAGGAAGAAAATGGCACTTACATTTATTAAGAATTTCGTCCTCATCTTCAAGGGAGAAATTATTTTCAATGAACTCAGATTTTATCTCTTGTTCCATTGTGGTTAGGATAATTGATTAAGTGCAGATCATGGGCAGCTAAGAAAACATGGAGAAATTCAGTCAGATTATAATTCAAGGAAACCAACATTCTATTATAAGATAAACCAAATCGCACACATGTAAGAGAAAGAGGAGAAATTGGTAGCACCATTTCATAGAGAGACAGAGGGTAACAAATGAGCACATGTATCAGAGAGTTTGTGAGAGAGAGAATGCAATCAAATTGCGTCGTGCCTAGTTAGCGTAAGAGAATACAAATGGCACATGTAAGAGTGAGAGAGGCAAAATCAGAAACGAAACAAAACCGAAAGAAGAGGAGAAAGAGAATAAATGATCCATACCTCTCCTTCAATCTTTCAATCTATCTGCTGAAACCGTAGAATCAATTGCCCAAATCACCATTTCAACTATCAATGTTCCCACTAAGAAAGAAACCCTAGAAAAACAATTTCACCATCCTTCAAATGCAAGATCTCTTCAGAGTTCAAAGAAACCCTAGTTTTCAAATATGCGGAGTGATAATAAAAGGAAAACCCTAAAAATGTAGAAGCCCTACCCTTCCCATTTTCCGAGTAGAGGGATAGGTTTGGGAAATTGGTTTTTGCTCACTACGGAGTTTTGGCGGGAACGCATTTTCGCGCCTCCTTAAACAGTGGCGGATAAAACTGTTCTTGAACAAATGACGGATATAACCCTTATTTAAGCCTCAAATGGCCGAACTAGTCCTCATCGAAATAACGATTGGCGCCCTTTAGTAATTGAATAATTCCATAGTTCCCTACACTCCTTGCTTTTCCTCTTTGTTTTATTCGAAATTATAAAATCAAATGAAAATTTACGTTCAACTCTATTTATGGAATTTATATTTTAAAAAATGATGTATATCGAGTAAATTTATAAATATTTAAAAAATTAAAAAATTTATAACTTATTACAGGATGCACGATTTTTAAGCTTTGAAATTCGTTTTTTTTTTATGTCAATATATCTCAAGATTGAAACGATCAGTTGGAAATATTCTCACATTTTATCATTTTTATTGCCCCCTCTCTCTCATAAAAAGTTTTTAATGTCTCTCTGCAATCTATACCAATTTAGCCTCTCTCAATTAACTGTATGTAACAATTTTTTTTATGTGGCTCTCATCTTGGATCCTGTGTTTTTGTGTTCTAGAATCTCTCTCTCTCGAACGGCCAAGCACAAACAAAATGCATCTCTCTCTCTCTCTCGAACGGCCAAGCACAAACAAAATGCATCTCTCTCTCTCTCTCTCTATCAAATGAAAATAGAGCATGCATAATATACACCCGCCGGAATATACTGTCCAACAACTCCCTTCTACAAAATAGATACCTGGATATTTTTTTATCCGAAATCCATCTAAGTATCACTAGGTTATTATTATACAAAAAAAATTATTTTGAGTTCCTGATCATCTAGATCTTTCCCTCACAAAATTCGATGGTTCTTTGGATACCACCTTTTTTAAGGCACATCGAGGATGTGAATTAATATTTTTTTTTTCGTTGAGACGAATCATTTGGTTCTAAAGATTATATCCCAAAAATTTGGAATCCAAAATATACCCTTGGGCAGAGTTTTGCCCAACAGAACAAATAGACAATACTCCTGCAGGAACATGAAATCTTTTCACAAAAGGGAATCTCTGTGTTATAGTTTTGACATAATCCCTCTAGTCTCCCTGAAATCTCTCTCTCCTCTCTCTCTATATCTTTCTCACTCATGATGCTTGCTCTCTTTTCAAATCATCATTCTCATCCGAACCTTGTCCCAACCCTCTATAACCGATACGAAAGAGAAAATAAGAAGATAAGCCTATATAACACATAAGGAGAAAATAAGAAGAAAAACCTCAAATCATATATCATTGGAAAAAACAAAATCTGAGACTAGTTTTTGGAACTTGGCCCGTCCATGAGAAGGAACTCAGCAAAGGAGAAAAACAAGGAATAGAAAGAAAATCAGTTAGTTGAATATCCAAGTTTAATATGAAGCATCAGGAACCTCTTGCTTCTTCACAGCAAGCTGAAGCCTCAAATGATCGCTTTTGGATTATGACACCAAGTTGGGGTATTCACGATCTCCTCTTCTAATGATCTCTGCTTTTTTGGCAGTCTCTTCATTTTCCATCTTTTAATTGCACCACTCACTCTAAATATGAAACTGGTCAACCGTATGCTCTTCCTTCCACTGAACAAGTAGCGAATATAATCCACGACGAGACGCACCCACTCCTCACCCTCTAAAATGTAATAATACTGCAGAACAAAATAACAACTTTGCATGAGCAAGGGGTTTTGTGTGTGCGAGAGGGACTTACGGCCAAACTATCGCCAACTATAAGATGAAAAAGTCGAATGGATATGCATGATACAAGTCATATCATATTTCCAAGGTTTCATCTTTTTTTTTGTGCAAGTTTGGCTCTCTCTATCTCCCGGCCCCTAATTGGGCTTCTTTATTGTCTGACTCCTTTGTCAGTGGCAACCGTAAACATGGCGATCATATTCATAAATTTAAATCAAATCCAAATGAATAGCTTGTATTTTACGAGAAGAGTGACATTAAATAAGCTATTACTATATACCATCCAGCCATGGTTACAATATGCATCAGTAGTATTTCATGCCTCAAAGACATCCGAAAATTATTCAAGGATTAAAACTCATAATCTTCCTATTCCATCAGCATAAAATTACTAACTCTTGGCTCATAAATTGTTATCTTCCAATAATGTTGAGTCATAAGTGTATCAGCAATGTGGTCAAAATCTATATTGGATTGTTGAATAATCTTTGCATATCCTTTCAGTCAAAAAAAAATATTATTGTTAATACCAAATATACGTTGTAGAATTCTACAATCTGAAGCTGAATAGCAAGCAAAAATAAATAAATCCGGTGGTCGTATTCCTTTCACAAAATCTAACAATGAAGCCAGTATGCATTACACTCAGCACAAGGCACATAAAATCTTTTGTTTTTTTGTTATCGGTGAAAGTAATAACACATATCATTCTCCCTCTCTTTTTTATTTACAGTAGTTTCGAATGTTCTGAAAATTAAAATGACCCAGGAGAAAAGACTTTGGAGGAATAAGTGTTCTGAAATGGAAATTCATTGCTGAGGCAGTTTTAAAAATCAAGAACAGGTTTCATAGGAGAAATTTAAGATGGAGTACTTGATTTGAAGCATCACCTGGTGGGAACTACAAGAGGTCAAACTATGTACTTTCTTTTTTTTGGTAATGAGGTCAAACTATGTATTCAAGAGTTTAAAAATGTGCTCCGCGATGCTTCCGGAGATATCAGGAAGTCTTGTACAAGATACACAGAGAATGTGATAGAATTTGATACTGTTTACCAGCTAGAGTAATCGGAGAAATTTGACCTTTAACACAAAACTGTGCTAGTTCATCGGTAAATATCCATACAGATGCCTTTCATGGGTCAAAACTCCACAAGTTATGAACAAACACCCTTAAACATGTGGAAGACGAACAAAAATAAGATTACAAGAATGTGCAACACATGTGAAGATAATGCACAACAGGGACCATTCTTCATAGATGTTTCTTACCAGAAACAAGATGGCATGGATTAGAGTAGACTTGGGCACACAATGCTAGGCTTGTCTCCAAGTTATTGATTCTACGAATTAAAGATTTAAGGGATGATGACAAATTAGATTTAACCATTTCTTTTATAGGAATCATCATTATACCATTTCTATAAAAGAAATCACACATTATATGATACTAAAATGTCATATTCACACATGTTACTAGTTCTATGACACAGCATGCAATTTTATATTATTTATTACAGTGGCTGAAGTCTTTCATAGATATTAAAGATTACTAAAGATACCACAAAACTGAAGGTAAATGGCTGAAGTCTTTCACAGATATCAGTGATTACTAAAGATACCACAAAACTGAAGGTAAATGGTAAAATGTATATGCTTCATTATATCTTATTTCCTTTTTTTGAAATTTTCCAGTTCTATAATTTACTATATTTCTTTTAGCATTTCTGTGTACCCAAATATTCTAACCCAACTTCAAAATTAGCCAACTTTAACTTTTTGCTTCATTGAGCCTCTTTTTCATTGGCAAGGATTGGATTTGAGCCTGCCACCTAGGCCAAAAACCCTGAGATCTCAGAAGGGACTCTAGCAGCCTTGAGCTCAATGTCCAGTAAAATCAAAATTTATCCACAAAAGGGGTCCGAGCCCTTTGAAAATGAAGTATATAGATGAAAGACTACTTAAATGTTAGCAAACTTTGTAGCTTCCACCCCTTCCCCTTTCACGCCAAGTGCATTACTCCTCCAATATTTGTCCCACAAGCTTCCAGCAGAATATTTACGAACAGAAGATAGAGAAGCAACTATCAAAAACACACATAAAGAAGAGGTAACGTCACGTTTTTCTGAAGTGCTAAATACATTATCAATACAGAGAAAATCATGTTTTAATCAAGAATGATGTAAAGCATATCGTGGATAATCCACTAACTTAGTCTTGGCTATTGAGGAAACACCACAATATCCTTTTGTTGTCAACTTGGATGCCATAGGTTAGAGGCATGATTCTCTAGTACTCATTACAATGGCCAACATCTCGAGCATCTATAGTATTTCTAGCCCTGTTGGCTCTTCCCCATTTTTTTCTTGTAAAGATTCTTCCTTCAACCATTTGCATCTCTAGGACCAGACAATAACCTTTCCTATTCCCTATCGAGAGCCATGAGGGGCCACCATTTTTTACTCAAGGTTCATTGTAGGCCTTTTCTCCAAGTCTACAAGATGAGGAATTCAAAATGTGAGCCTCATGATTTTTGAGAAATCCCCACTGGTGGGTTTTCATATCCCTCTTTCATTTTGTCAATCACTGTAAAGTGGTTTTATTAAAAATGAGCAGTAATTACGTACCTCTATGGCTTTGTTCTCACAACCAAGGGTAGCCGAGAAAAGTTAACCGCTAGAGATATCAGTCGAGTTTCCAATTTCCAAAATGTTTACTTGTGAGAAGCTTTTGTTATATTAAGCTCGACATGGATGTCTGGTAGTTCGGAAATCGGTTGATCAGTTGTAACACCCTTTGCCCCTAAACCCCACCACCTGCCCCCCAACCCCCAAAGTCTTGAAGTTGGATTAGTCATTTCCACAAAAATTCCATATTTTAAAATTATCCACTCAGCATGTAATCACATAACTCGCACTCCAGTCTTATTCTCTGTGATTCCCTGGTTATGATCCTAGCACCACTGTATGTAACCCCAGCATGGAAGCCCAAATCCATTTCCTCATATTGATCGTTAGGTTTTTCACTCAAACCAAATTTCGTTTGCAACTTCCATACAGTGTTTTGCTTTGCAGGATTGTCTACAAAGAGGCAATTTATCTTTTGTACATTTTGTACATGGAGGTCACAATCATTCTTGTCCCCTAAATTTCAAAATGGGTAGTTAGAAGTGTTTCATTGAATAGACACAAAATTCCAAAAAAAAAAAATCTCGGACTTCATGACTCACCCCAATCTATTTTGACATCTAATGAGTGAAATGATTGTGAACTCCATGTACACAAGATAAATGGTCTCTTTGTCATCAATCCCTTTGCATAGAAAGTAAAAAACCCAAATTATTCGCTGGCCATACTACTTACATTTTATTTTCTAACATCATTTCATCATTTAGATCAAAATGCAGACAAGCATCAAGGAGGTGAAAGAAGCTTTCCATGGAAAGCCATTGGTTTTGCATCATAGCATAGACATGGGTTTCATTCTTGTGAGTTTATAATATAATTCAGAAAATTCCACATTCTTATTTTTTCCTGATAAATAATGGACATGACAATATCTAAACCTATAAGGCTATTAGCCTATAACCATAAGTAATTTACAGAAATATTGCTTTCGATTACTATAAGGAAAGTGGCATGATATTACCAGGAAAATGAAAGCCATAGTTGCTGAAGCCACTTGAACAAATTCCTCATAAATTCCATAAAATCCTTCATCATCAGAATCACCAAAACTACCACCTCCACCTCCACCCCCACCTCCACCTGGGCGATCGCTACCACCCTCATCATCACCAAAGTCACGGTTTTGTATTTGTTCTCTCAATAGTTCCTCTGCAGATTTCTTCTTTAACCCCCCCATGGCCTTTCCCAGTGATTTCCATGGAGATTCCTGAAAATAAAATCCAAAAAAACTGAACCCAAATGAAAGCCTTCATTGATCAACGTCTACATTTCGATCAAACAATGAAAAAAGGATGTAATCTTTCTTATAAGTGAAAACATCGATACCCATATATCCAAAGAAAAAAAAAAGGAACTATATTGGGCTGAAAAATAGAGAAACAACCAGTAATGGCCGAAAAAGTGCAAATGTTTGGAAAAAATAATATCCCTGAATTATCAAAGAATAGAAAATTTTGGGATTTTCAGCACAAAATTTCAGAAAAACATTCAAATAACCATTAACCAATCCTCGAATAACAGATTAAATATCTTTAATCACATTTATTTGGTAACCCAACTGGAAAACATCAAATAAAATTATTGAGAGCAGTAAATTAATTTTTTTCCATTAAAAAACAGTAGAATGACAAAGAAGAATAGGGTTTAAGAGATTTATATACCTGGTTTCCTTTATCTGAATTTCCTTTGCCTCCAAAAAGGCAAATAGGAGCGCTTCTCTTGCATATTGGATGAACCCAACGAGACCGAGTGCTTATAATTGGTGCAGAGAGAGAAATATAAGAATTCTCAAAAGACAGAGACTTGGGTCTAGAGAGAGAAGCACGAGAGTTTCCCAAATACCCTGAAACGGGTTTAGAGAGAGAAACATGCAAATTTCCATGGAGTCGAGTAGAGAGAAAAAGAGGAAATTGTAGCTTCTTGGGTTGCGAGCAAGTGATGGTAGGACAGAGAATCATGTCTAAAGGAAGAGAAAGAGAGATTTATCTATGGAGTCGTGGTTGTATAAAGATGGGGAGGCTTCATTTAGAGAGAGAAAAATAGTTGAGCCACTGGTAATGGCACCGTAGAGAGAGAATGGGTGCTTCCACGGCAACAGAGGAAGTCGGGATGAGGGCAAGGTAAACAGTGCATGGGGCTGGATACCACACGCCGAAGAGTATACTATTGAGGTACTCATGAGCAGTTTGGATCTAATCAAAATCATTTAAATTGTGGGCCGAATTGGTTGGATTATATTTTAAAAATATATAATTAATAATAATTTTTAAAATATAAAATATATTTAAAAATTTTATTTAGTATGTTCAACCAATCAAAATCAGACGGTCTAATAAGCTAGAATCGATCAAAAACACTTTCGATCAAATTAATATTATTTAATTATTTTGCTATTTCAATGATTTCCAATTTTTTTAAGTTCTTGGCTAAAAGGTGGGATTCTCAGCTATTTACTTTGAATAAACCAAAAACAATATTTTAAAAAAAAAAGCTTCTATGCAAGCCTGCCTACCTATAACTTTATCTTTGATAATTTTATGAGAGACACAATCAAACAACATATAATTTATAATTATTATTAAATTTATTGAAACAGTGAATTATCAAACCATTCCCTTCAAGCAATAGCAAAAGTGTTTTGGAAAAGACGGGTCCAGACTCGTGACCCGGTTGTCTTGGCAAGTTTGAGCCTAATCTCCGGTTAATAAATAAATAAAATGGGAAAAAACTTAAAAAATCAAATAATGCAAGTTTCTAAAGAACAAGTTGGGTTTTGATGAAACTTTCAAGCACATATAGATACCCGTGATTTATTCTTTGTCATTGTGTCACACATTTATTCCAAAAATAATGTACATAACAAAAATGAGTTCCACATGAGCATTCAAATTTGATGTTATAGATAAATAGGTAAATTACATAATCTAAAAACCAATACAAATGACATGGAGGCTTAAACTGGCAGGAATACAACAACCTCGACAACCATCATCCTAAACATGGCTGTATCTATTTATGAACAAGTCTATCAATCTGGAAAATTATGTACCCCTTCCGCACGTAAAATCCCCAAGATTTGTCCATCCCTAGTATTTGCTCTCACCTTGTTGTTCGTGCTCGATTTTATACCCTTGTGTCATCACTTTCATCTGTATCATTGGCCTCATCCATGTCATCATCGTTATTTCCTTCTACATCTCCACTGTGCTCATGAATTTGTGTCTGTTAACTTATTGACCTCCTCCTACTCTCAACCTTCTTCCTCTTCCTCTTCATCTTCACTCATGAGCGCTACTTTTCTTCCAGTGCCCCTCCATTAAGAAGTGGCCTCTCCACTGCTACTATCCTCCTTGCTCTCCGTGTCTACAGTCCTCCTTGTTTCGATCGTAGCCCTTGCAATCTGACTTGTTCGATCTTGCAATCCGACTTAGCTGCAACTTTTAGATGTTCCAATTGGGATGGATGTCGATCAACTTCTAAAACACAATAACAACCAACTGAAAAGGCTTTATGGATAGGTTTGTGAATTTTGTTCCTTTATTTCTTAAAGAAATACCTATGTGATATTTTACCGTGGAATACATATTTTTTATTTTCTTATTTTTTTTCACCTCTTTTTGTTGGCAAAATATTACCTACATGTGATTTTTATTATAATAAGATAAATTTCAAAATAAAATGAACATAACAATAAGACCAATATTTTAACAACTTGATGTCATTGAAACAACTATGCAGTATGTTTGAGAATAAAAGATAAGATTGCAATAAACAAAAGAAAGAGTGTCAAATATTACCTCAACCGGGCTTACTGCACCCCACACCGAGTCACCACCATCCGATGGCGCGGGATCAACGGTCTAGCTTCAATCTCGAACCAGAAAAGCAAATTTTGGTCAAGCCACACCAATAGAACATGAACCCCTTTGATCACAAACTCAAACCCTAGGTGAATTCTCTGAGCAACATAGTATGAGAGAGATGAATTATCTTTTTGCTAAACCCTAAAACCCTTAGTCATAAATCCATATTTGAGAGATAGGAGAGAAGAATTCCATAACCTAAACCCTTAGGTTCTTTCACAATATCGGAGAGAGATATCAAACATGAGAGAGATAAACTTTTTAAGAGAGAAATAAAAAGATAAGGTGTACAGAGATTTTTTAGTAGAGATAATCACTTTTTATACGCTTTGAATAAGATTAGGGTTTTTTAAGGTTTTTTTTGGCTTGCCTATTCTTGTGAGATTGAACATAGACCGTTGATCAAGGGTGACTTGTGGGGTGAGAGATCTGAGTCATTCATTTCATAGATGGGCCATTAACATTATGAAAAGTGCATGAACCATTATCCTCATTTCCTAAACCATTTTCTCATCAATAGAAATTAAATAAATTTAATTTAATCAAAATATTGTGCATGCTATAAAATAGCACAAGTCTACTTAATCTCTCCATAAAATCTTTCAAATATATATCAAGTCAATATTTAGTTAATATATTCAAACCATATGCCCACATGACATAGCACCAAAAAATAAAAAAGAGAATAAGGGTGGGGCGTGCCACCCAAGGGAGGCACCCATGGGCCCTACCTTCTAAAAATATGGAGGGTCCATGTGCACAATGGGCCCCCGTGATATTTTTATATATTTAAAATTAATAAACAGATTTTGGAATATTATTTGAATATTTAAACAATTGTAAAGTCAATATCTTTAATTTTATAAATCCAAAATTTCTAAATAAAATATCCAGAGGTTCATAAAAATTCAAATAATAATCTTAAAATAATTTTCATCATAAAACAAACACAATTAAATTAATTTTATGGGAAAATAATACATATGGTTCAGGAATCAACAATCATGGGGCACTCCACCTTCAACTGTGGACTACAGACCACACTTGCTTTATCAGACCGACCCAGTGTTTTTCATGACCCACAATCCAAGCAAGGGCTCATTAGCGGGTCACAAAAGTTCGGTCGATGAGCCAAGGGATCTCAATCCCAGTATGTGGATTTCAAGTCCTCCCCTAGAGACGAGTCAATGTCACCTAGACCTGATGCGACCATAACTCTTATGGTGCATAGGGGTATTTCTCGCACATGCATACGTTTCACCCTAAACGGTGGATTTCTGGTGTTCCCAAACGATCTATCGATATACATGTCTTGTGATGACTTATGGATGAGACTTTGGCCCGCGTCTATATAGGTCACCATCATACACAAGGGTCATACTGTCCCTCGGCTCGCTCATCCGGGCATATTCTCCGACCTCATCAAGGGCTAACCCATTAGAACCCTTATCGGTTTGTTCTTTATGCCCAGGTAACATGGGTTTTTCCTAACCGACTGGCCTAGATCGTCAAGCATAGTTCGGTATCTGCAAACATCGTTTGCTTAGTATAGCCCATGAGGGACCACACTCCCACTGAGTTCATGTTTCACTATATCATTTCATTTTACAAGCACCCATAAGGCCTTTAAAGGCCACATGAACCCAACCCTTTGTGCTTAAAAAAAGTACTAAAATCCCCTTTGCTAAACTTTTTTATAATCCTCCCCCAACAATTTTTTTAAAACACTAAAAAAAACTCAATATTGTTTCTTCTGTAACTACTACCCATGTTAAAAGGATAACTTTTTTAGACCAAATATCCCAATTTGACCTAGGTTTACAATATCCCTTTTTTTTCCTTTTCCTTTTTTGTGTTGGACCGAAAAATAAGTCTGTGCCAGTCCGGCAAAAAAAAAGTGCCAATTGACCCAAAAAAATGTGTCGGACCAATCTGGCATATTGATTTCAGAGTGTCGGACCGGCACAATAAAAATGTGGGTATTAGGCAAAGAGAGGGGTATTTTGATCATAAATTTATTAACTTTTTGACTCGAGAACATGCAAAAGAAAATAATATTGGGTCTTTTTAGCATATTAAAAAGTTGTTGGGAGAGGATGTTAAGAAAGTAGAATCAAGGGGGGTTTTAGTAATTTTTCCTCATTCTCACTCATGATAGCCATATCTTCTTTTGATGCGGCCTTATTAGGAAGTGGCCTCTCAAGAGTTCCCCATCATCGTGCTCTTCATCCTCACTTTTGAGGGCCATATTTTCTTCTAATGCCCCATTTTTAAGACGTGGCCTCTCCACTTCCACTATCCTCCATTAATTTGATCAGGGTCTCCAACATCCTACCTAACTGCCATATCCATAGGTTCAAAGAACATGGATGGAGACCAACTTCTAAAGCACAATAGGAACCAACTGTAAAGACTTTCCGCGTAGGCCCATGAAATTTTCTTGCCTTTCTATCTAAAGAGTTCCACACACCCCCCATGGCATAAACATGTGAAAAACGGTAAGTCAATAGGATTTGGACCCCAACCGCTTTGTCAAAATAGAGTAAAAAACTTCATTATAGGGTTCGTTGGTACTATCGCCAAGGCTTTGTCCCTATGTTTTGTAGTCTCATGGCATAAACATATAAACACATTCATTCTGTCCCTATGCTTTGTCGGTGGGGTGCACCAGCGTGATGTTCTTATCCACTACTTGGTTGAGAAAAAGTGACAAACAGAGATTTTGATCACGTTAATTAGCTTGATTAAGATTAAGTCATTGAGTGGGTTTTTTAGGAAAATCAACACATCAATCATAAATCCCGAGCACCATCGGAAAGAGGAGACTCGGCATGGGGTGTACTAACAATCTCCAGCAATTTTACCTTTTAAATATTTATTTATGTTTTGATTTTCTCTTCCCAAAAAGCAATAAATTATAGTTTTGTTTATTGAATAAATAATTATATTTGACGAGGTAGCGATTAAGAACCGATTTTATTATATTTTATTTATTTAAATAGTGGTTTGATTGTATTTGAATATTGTAAGTGATATTGCCAGTGTAGGAATAAATATATTTTTTTAAAATATATACACCGTGCTTTATTACAATTTCTTGATACCTCTAAGATTTATTTAATTTTCTTTTTATTGAGTCCTACATTGCTTTTGGGAAAAAGAGATAGATGGTCGCACGAACTTTTATCTCCGATATCTTAAAAATCAAGAGGTTTGATAGGTCTAACTACTCATTTTGGAAGCGCAAAATCGAATATGTGCTTTATAAGGAGGAGTTGGATGAGATATGGAT